GAGTTTGCCGCAGAGACGCCTTACAGTCAGCATCCAGGCGAACTTTTGGCCAAAAATTAAAAGTCTGCGTTTTCCAGATTCGAAAAGGAGTGAATACATTTTGATAGATGACCTATTGAATGGCGAAAGAGTTTTTGTTTTAGGTGGTAAGGAACGTGGGAAAACACTTAGCCAAAAATAGGCCTAAAAACAGTGGGATTTTCGGTAAAAATTTTTCAATAAAATTGAAGAAATTTGAATCTGAAAGTCAATCAGCATATGAAACTAGAACTGTTCGACTATCGATTACCAAAAAAAGTTTCTGTTTTGGACTGAAACCTCCGAGGCAAAAAAATTTAGTTTCCGCGCTAACAACGTTTTCATAGTGATGTAGTTAGTATAACGAATGCGCCAAGTTATGCCATGCTTTAAACTGATTTTGTCAAAATGTTCTTCTGTCTATCTCACATCTATACAGTTAGTATAAATTAGCATAAATGTTCCTGGGCTTTGCTGTAGGTTTTCCCCAAACCCTAGCTTTTCATTTAAAATCTTTTGCGCAGATCAGGAGCACTTTTAAGAAAACGTTAGATTATATTCGGAATCAGCGTGTCGAGTTGCATCGAACCATGTATGACACAATAAGTTTGGAATTCAGAAAAATATCGATCGAAATCTTTTCCTCTGAACCAGCAAGATTGATTTTTCGAAAAAAAGTGATTTTTTTCTAAAACCATTTATTTTTTCTTGTAGAGCCTCAGAGATAGCGAAACAATGATAATTATTCATGAGAAAACGGTTTACGAGCAAAAAATTCTGATGTCTGCCTGCTATCAGAAAAATGCTCACTGTGCGCCTGTAACATTGATTAAAATTTCATAGAGGCACCTATCATCTAAAAGATCGTAATGCTATACTGTAAAAAGAAAGATGTCCTAGTGTAGTAGTTACATTTTTATGCGATGGATTGGGCATAAATTTCCAGCACATTTCGGATGTGCTGTGTTTCTAAGTATATGTGTCATTTAATATGACTAATTCTTCGAAAATATTCTCTTTTTTCTAAAGATTTTAGTTTTATATGTAGACATGCTATCACAATGCAAAGAGGTGCATGGAAAGAGACCAGGATATATTAGAATGTGTTGATATTTACAAAGTACATTCTATCAAAGACACAATTTCGAGCACAACTGGTATGCTCATTCTACAGAGGTAATGTTCAATGTGTCTCATCCTACGATGCTTATTACAAGGACACATTTGAGAGCATATCCAATGTGTCGGCTCACAAGACATTTATAGAAGTGCCAATGTACATAGTACTTTTCCCAAGTGGTATTTCAAACGTGTCGTCTGCCACAGTCAGCGTTTTCGACATAACTTTCGCATGGTGGAGGAAGTTTTATGAAGCAACTGGGAGTAATTTTTCAATGAACGGAGTAATTTTTTTCAAACAAGGTGGGAGAATTCTCCCACCTTCCCCCACCTAATCGAAAACGCTGGCCACAGCACAATCTGAAAATGGTCTGTTCTTTTTACAGTGCATATGAATTATTTTTATATTAACTTTCGAAATTTCGTTTCTGTTAACGTTCGTTTATTGTACAACTCTATTTCGACTGACGATAGAAAAGTTTCTATTCCTTGCGTACACAGAAAATAAGATCAATTGTTAATATTGTATTCCATTGAGACCAAGTTTTTTTGTATTTTTTCAATGTTATGTGCATTATTCATGAGCACAAAATAATATGTCGAACACTTAATTTGAACTACATAGGCATTCTCTTCTGTTCTTTCTACACAATTTGTAACAATAACACTAAACAGTTTATATACGTTATAGTAAGATCAACTTTCAAAACTTTTTTCTTTTTCTCGTCTTTTTTTAATCAAAAAACGTATCTGTTTGTATGTGTGTGATTTTCATCATCTTTCAACATAAAAGAGTCGATGTATAAAAAAAGGTGTTGCGGAAGTAAATAGAAAAAAACAATAGTGAGCAGTTCTTTTGTGAGTGTTGCTGAGAGCCATAGTTTAATCGCATGCTCATCTAACGAAATTATACTAAGTTTGTACATAATGGTTTATCACTAGAAATATTCTAAAGCATTGAGTTTAAGGAAGCAGAATAAGGTATTTTTATACTCTCGTCACAGCAGGCAGACATCAGAATTTTTTCCTGAAACCATAATCACGCAGTTATCTCTGATACTTTTCAAGAAAAAGTAAACGGTTTAAGAAAAAAATTGATCTTGCTGGTTCATAGGAAAAAATTTTGATGGATATTTTTCGATCCCAAACTTATTGTGTCGTACATGGTTCAATGCAACTCGACACGCTGATTCCGAGTATGATTTTATTTTTCCTTAAAAGTGTTCCTCAATTGAGAAAAATAGATTTTAGCTGAAAAACCAAGGTTTTTTGGAAAATCTTCTGTACGCTCTAGAAACACTTGTGCTAAATTATGCTATCTTCATAGATGTAGTACATACAGACAAGCATATTGACTGAATCTGAGCACCTTTTGGGTCCGTGAAAAATTCTGGAACTTCAGTACACTGAGCACAACTGTAAGGAAAATCAACTAGCGTGAAAAACAATGTTATTTCTCACAAAGTATAGGTTGAAACTAAAACCTTTTTCCATGGTTGTATAGCTAAATGAGTCTAGATTCATAATCTGTATCACTTTTACTTTAAATTTCATCGGATTTCATAAAAAATGTTTTACTTCTTGCCTCTGTGTTACGAGGTTAATTTTTGAATGTGACTTTTCACGCTCCTTAGCACTAGGAACAAAACTTTTTATGGTATTAAATAGCCCATAGATCAAAGTGTATATTACACTATTTGAATCCAGAAAAAGCTCATTTTCAATTTTCCGATGAGTGTCCGCCTAGATGTCCAATGTGCTCGTATTCTTAGCCGACAGTCCAATTTGAACCCTAATCCTTACTCTGTATCACTGGGAAGCGTTTCACTGTATACTTCTAGCATTGATTTGCATACCATAAAAAATGGTAATTGTGACTTCAACGAGAAACTTCAAGTGCCTGAATATATTTAATAAGACAAAATTTTATCATCAAATATTTGAACATTTTAGCAAACTGTTACGGACAGTTTTTAACTGTTGCATCAGTTTTAACATATCGCTGTGAATATTTAAAGGACTCATATTATTGCCACATTCATTATCAGAATTACTTTTATTTAGATAGGACTATAGCTTTAAACATGTCTCTCCAAAATAAGACGTTCAGCTTCTCTGTGTGATTTTTTATTACTGGCTTACAACATTTTTCTCTAATAATCAAAATCGATTATAAGTAGTCCGCACATCTCGACGTTGTTCGAATACAACATGAAGTAAAATTTTTATTATTATTTATATTCCAGTAATAATGATTTTAACTGAAATAAGTTAGAAATGAAGAATTATCTAGGACAAAAGAAAAAAAATTATATGTAAACGTTAATTTTAGTTATACTAGGAAGAATTTTGTTATCAAATCACTGGCCATGAAATGATATTGAAAAATTAAATGTTCATAAACAATGAATCGGCCGATTTATTTTATTAGCTCAAGGCATTTGCAACAATATTTTGTTTGTTTAATGTTTAATTGTTTACTTTTCTAGACAATGAACGCCATTAGATCAGTTGCAGTCCGTAGTACCGATGTACATAGAAAAAATGGTCCAAGTGGTATGTAAATTCTGCTGCAGTATTTTGCCTGTATGATTAGTAAAAGAGTGCTCTAGTGTAAAAAGACACATTTTCTCGAAAATAGAAGCACGTCAATTTAAAGTATAAAAAAGTTTTAATCTTGTCCAATAGGTTTTCTTCTTTATAATTAGAAGTCATACGACCTTCAGAAACGCTTGAGTTGTGATTTAACACAGTTCAAACAGTTCAATAACTCGTTTTACCTTGAAATGCACCCTCAAAACAATCTGATGTCAGGATCTCTTCAACGAACATAAATGTCAAATTTAAAGACTTCTCATTTTTAAGAAAAAAGTCTATTATATAGCACTGTACTTTAGAAATACTTTTTTATGCTTGGAATCGACATATTTTTGGAGAAACCATATGATCACCCAACATATTTTCTAAAGATAATGGCCTAATTTTAGTTTTTTTTATGTTAGTTTTTTATGGTAAATAAAGGAGATTTTGAAGACTGTAAAGTTGAAGTTTTTCTTTACCATCGTGCTGTTGTAGCAACCTGTTTAATTAATTTGTCAACTTTCAGCTATTAAGATTAAGAAAAAGGCTTGGAGATATAATCGCGGTTATTTTTTATACTTATTTCTTAATAATTACTGCATATATGATGGAATCCAAGGTTCTAAACAACTTTGTTATTTGGTATAGTATCGTAGTCAATTGTTTCTAAGATACGGTAAAAATTTGTTTCTGAGAACTCATGTTTTTCCATGGGCTTTCTCTTCTTAGGACAACTTATACGACAACTTATACGCGTGCTTCGTTTTATCTTAATGCATAAAAATGGAAAAAAGAAAAAGTTGAGTATATGTGATTGTGTATTATCATGAATTTAAACAACAATGGGTTCCAAATCGTACGGTAGAGAGAAGAAGATTCAGACTACAGAATGAAATACTTTTGAACTGGTCATCTCTTAGACTTGACTAACAGGGATTCGTTGCTTGAAACTCCATATAAATGAATAGAAATCTCATGCGCGCCGGAGAAGTGTCTTTTAAACCGGGAGTGAAGTGAAAAGAGGCACTCGCATGTATCTCTTTGTATTTTGGATGAGACGCAATATTTTCAGAAGATTTTTTGTATCAACGTATAGAGAAATGTTTGATCCACCATAACTGTTGCCTGCCTAATGCTCTTACATTGCACAATAAAGACATAGATGTGGTTTCGTCGACAAAAATAATTAACTTCAGAAAGGTAACTAACTTCTACCAATTCTGTAAAAAAGTTAAATATATGTCCATTTTTGTTCTTACTCTCAGGGGTGTCTATCTTGTGGGATGTTTGAGGCGCAGTGCCTCAAACAAAAGTAAGGTGTACGCTTTTTTGCGGTAGAAATTAATTTTCAGGTGGTACACTGAGAGATTGAATCTACGAGGTGGTACAAAATGTCTCAGATATATAGGTGAGGATAGACGTCGCTGCTTACTCTGAAACCTATGCTAAGCGTACAACATTAACTCATTCTAAACTATTTTCCTAACAATTATGATAGTTACAGTTTTACAGCTAACTGTAACTGGTGCGTGCCTACTTACGATGGATATTCGTTGAGGTTTGATAATGCCGAAGATGAATGGAAAACATAGGTGATTAGGGTTGCAAAAGTTCAGCGTTCCTTTTTAATGTTTACTTTGAACGTGAACGCTAAACCACGTTGGCGTTCCTTGAACGGGAACGCGAGTGTTCTGGTGAACGGGAACTTTACTTTATATGAACGGTGTTGATCTTGTGTAGGATGAATAGTACTGCAAAACGTTATATAGCAATTTCAGCTAGTACTAGAGTAAGTGGAACAGTTTTCTCCGTTGCCAATTGTATTTAGTGAAAAATCAACACTCATCAGCTTCCAAAAGGGTTACGATAATAAAGGAAAAAGTATGTAGTTACGGAAATGGTTTGGACCAAGGAATCGGTGCAACTGCAAGAAAAACTAATCTCCTGGTCAGAAAATCGGCGATCTGTTCTGGAAGAATCAATGCCTTGATCAGAGAATCAATAACTATCCTTGTTACATTGCAATAATCTGGTCACTGCCCTGAGCAGACCATCTGATCGTTCACTAGAGTTTCTATTGATAAGATAAGACCAAGCTGAAATATATATTCTTACTACACTACAAGTACGAATTTCATATTTACTTCAGACAATATGAACACCGTCCATATAAAAAAAATCTCGTGTAGGGTTTATCTTGACGTTCTGAAGTAGTTTCAGATCGATTCTGAGTGAATTCTAAATTTTTTGACCTTAAAAATGGGCAAAACTGAGTTAACTCTTTCGAAACAATAACCTAGTTTTCCAATATCTAAAACAAAGTCAAGCTTTGCGAGGAATTTGGAAAAGGCTTTTTCCGTAGTACCATATATCTTAGCCTTCGCTATCGAATGACGAAATCAGATGTCTATATCTCCTTTCATTTAACCGTTATTCAAAAAAACGGCAGAATGCCTTCTAAAATTAATAAACTTTCATAATTCCTAGTTTTCCAGAAACTCTTTTGAAAGTCGTAAGGATGACGAGAAAATGTTCTGTCAGAACATATAATGGCCCAAGGTCAACATTTTCTTCTTGTTGTATCCAACAAAAGTTTATGAATCTAGGCTTCCATTATATACTAGCAAAAAAAATTATTTGTTTTGATCTTGAACAACTCTTGAAGACAAAGCATATAATTTTTCAAGCTAACAGATTTTCTGTTTTTCATGTAGAAGTTATTTATATTCATACAAAAACATTTCTAATAAAAATGATGGTCATGTTCGGAATCAAATGCGTGACATTTCATCTACTGATGTATAATATAATAATATTTGCGTGCAAAAAAAGTTAGTCGAAAATTTCTGTCTTTATGATTTTTCGAAATAAAATAGTCTTTTTTTTCAAACGTTTATTTTTCGTTGATAATTCAATATGAAAAAGAATTTTATGCACAAAAAAGTCTAAATTCGTTTCACCAACTGAAATTGTCCACTGTATTCCTCTGACGCTATCATTATTTCACAAAAAGTTTTATCATGTATTTCGGAGGTGTGAATGCATACAACTTTATAATCACTCATAGTCCCTATTTTTTTCATGTTCATTATATAATTAATATGAACTTATCGTTTTACTTCCTGTCATGAGATTTAAGATTAAGATATATTTAACATTCTATTTTTTTCAAAATTGTACAGAAAACAAAAAAAATTAATTGTGTAGAAAAGTGTTGTTGACGTTAAATAATTTCTTTTATTTTTATTTAGAAAATTTATCTGTTATTTGTACTTATCGACCAAAAGCATCTATAACAGAATTAATGCGAATAACAAAATTTCAAAAAGATGAATTACAACATTTATATCGAAGTTTCAAACAAGTAAATGATAATTTTACAAATGTTTATGATCCTCCAAAAACAAAACAAAAGAAAATTTTTTATCGTTTTTTGGCAACTAAAAATAATAGATGATTAGGAAATGTAGGATCTATAAATGTTGCTATGAATAATAAGACACAAAAAGAAAAAAAAGAAGAGAAAACTGTAAATAAAACATTAATGACATACTATCATAAAGTCCCATCACGCTAAATCAGTGCAGCTCTTGAAAATAAAAATGAATTGGATATAATTTTTTTAAATAATAACAAACGTAATTTGTTAATCATTTTTAGGAATGTCCTGCGGGAACTGTGACCAAAGAAAAGTTTACTAGTGTATTCTCAGTTATGTTTCCAAATGGAGGTAATTTAAATAGATTTAATTTTAAAATATAAATACTCACGATATTCTGTTATATAGCATCTTATAGATATATATCATTTTTATTTCAAAATATTGATCGAGATAATGATGGTATTATCACTTTTGAGGTATAAAAAAAAAAACATATTCATTTGACAAATAAACTGTTGAATGATCAAGTAATCATCTTATTTTCAGGAGTTTGTTCTTACTCTTTCTCTACTTGCTCATGGTACCATCGAAGATAGACTTAGTTGGGTATTTAATCTTTATGATGTAAACAAAGATGGAAAAATTAGTCGACGTGTACGTCTAATAAAATAGAAAATAAATATATCAATTATATAATAAATTTCTAATTTTCTTTTATAGGATTTAGCTGAACTAATTGAGTCTGTGTTTAATCTAATGATTCCTGCTCGAAAGTTGGATCTAGTTCATATTTCAAATAATATTGAACAACGTACAAATGATTTATTTGAGGTAAACGTATTTCGATTATAATATCCATGATTTCTCGTTTTTTCTTTTGTGTTTATTTAGAAATGGGATGTAAATCGAAATGGTGTAATATCGTTAAGTGATTTTTTAATGGTCTGTTTGCAGGTTAGTAACAATAGAGAAGGCGTATCAGATTTTTTTATTTCGTTTTTGTTCTATTGTAGGATGATACAATGATGAAATCAATGAACGCTCTTAATAATGATATTTTTTCGTAATATGTCGATTGATTTTTGTTTGTTTGTTTGTTTTATTAGTGAATTAATAAATAAAAACAAAAAGTTAAATGAATTTTAGGAATTTTAAAACGTACATTGTCAAACACGGACGATAATTAATATTACAGGTAAGAGCAAAATATTCTTTGACTAATCATAAAGAGAAGAGACGTAAAAGAAATTAAATTGAATAATTACTGATTAAGTATAGTAGGGACAAGGATTTAAAAGATAACAGAATTGCGTTCGAAAAAATAACGATTGTTTTATTAATGGAAAATATCCAGATGTAAAGCTAACGGAATAAAAAGAATCCGAAAAGATCATAAAACTGAAAACTAAAAATTTTTTCAAGTTTTGATGTAGGAAATAAAAACCTGAAAAGATAACAATTTTTTACGTTGTAAACAAAAGTGATGTAAAACTCGAATTAAGAATGTAACTGAACGATCTTTTATGCTCTGATATTTTATCAAACTTTTAACTTGTTTCGGGGTTATGCTGATAGTTAGATGATCAATCACCAATTCACATTGAATTTGCGTTTCAGACAATCTATTACCGACATCTATAGTGGCTTAAAAAAAAATTTATTAAAAAATTAAAAAAATAAATAAATAAAAAAATTAAAATTATTCGTCCACCTTTATTTTTATTTCTTCTCTTCAATTATAACACCTAAAATAAATTTTGGAAAAAGATCTGAACAGCTACATTTTCAGGTGTATATAAGGTTTCATCGAAATTTCTGAAACCAGAATCTACCAGAGCTTGCCAAGTGACTTTATTTGACTTGGTCGAAAATTTTTTTTGGGTGTGACTTGACTTGAGAGATTTGTTTTTGTGATCGTTCATGAAAAGATTTTCAAGTCAAGTCATTTCTAGTAGTAAGAGATTTCCGTTTAAATTAGGCATTTTTTACCATGAAACAGCGTTTCTGAAACAATAAAAACTGTCTCTCATCAAAAGGCGCGAGCAAATCTTACGTTCTGCCTATTAGACTTGTCTTGGAGGAAAAATTTTCTCATCTCGATTTGACTTGACTTGAAAATTCTTTTAGTGACACGTGTTTCTAACATTACCAGTACGCCTTTGTTCCAAAGCGTACGGTACGCAAAACTAAATTGAAAATACGCTCTGATATACGTTTTGTGCTTGATTCCAAAAAACTTTCTGGAAAAAAAATACGCTTTGAGTTTTGTAAGGCTTTAAAGAAGAAGAATAGCATTTGACCACTTGCTATTAAGTGATTTATTTTTAGATAGAAATGAACGTGAAAAAGCCGTTTAGAACACTCGATAATTTTATTTTCAAACCATCATCGTCATCACTAATCACAAGATCTTCGACAATCAAACTGTCTCAAACTGATCAAGATGAAGTTGAAAACCAATGAACGCCCCTGATTTTATCAGAATCACAATCGAAGTTACCGTTGAATGATTATTATTTATTAGTTAGTTGGACAAACAATGAAATTAGGCACATTATTATCGTTGTCATTCGACAGTAAGTAATGATTAAAATTTTACTACTTTATTTAAGAACATATTATTTTATTAAGATTCAACTCATGAACAACGATCGGGAAGAATATTGTGTAATTAAAATTTTGTTGATGAACAGTAAGTTTGATACAATAATACATAGGAATTGTTTTAATGATTCTTCTCTGTATTTCTCTAGACATCGTTTTGTTCTTATGACAATGATTAATCGATCGTAGAATGAACAAGTACGAAAACAAATATCTGAACTATTTCATTTTATGACTCACGTTGTTATGTTTTTACTATTTGCTGAATTTTTGAAAAAGTTGTGGTTATTTATATTCGTGCACCACTTCGGTAATAATTTTTGAGTAGATTAAATAGATGAAAAATTAATATTCATTTTAGATGTATTGAAATTCGAAAATGTTATAATGTAACAATTGTATTTGGTTCAATTGAAATAACATTGAAAATAACAGATTGTAAAAATGTATCGATATCAGTTGTTTGTCGTCGACTTGTTATCAAGTAATTAAAATAAAATATAATTTTATTCTTAAATTAATATATAAACTCAATTCATTCTAGTCAATGTCGTTCATCATCATTTTATATTCTTATACCAACTGGTCCACTTGTAAAATTTAATTTGTTAAAATTTATTATTTGCTCTTTATAATAATACATCCTATATTAAACTACCAGAACATATGGAAAAAATAGAATTATGTAAAAATTTAAATTTATGAAATAAACCACTCATTACACATTCAGCAGGTATGTTTAATACACACTCGTGTACAATTACCTTGAAAAAGTCACGAGTTTTTAATCGTAAAAGAAAAATAAATTTCTACTCTATCATATTGTTTAGGATATCGTTCTGATTCACAATCTGATGAAAACAATTTGATCCTAGATGATTGTTGGTCCTGATGGTTTTTATCCATTAAGTACCATATGTTCAGAAGATCAACAAAAAGTAATGTATATAATATATTATCCATTATTTTTAATTGATATTGATTATTTTCTTTTTATTTTAGAATTATTTTCTTCCATTACCTATTGAATATCAAAATGCTATTGATAAACATCAACAATCGATATCATTATTAGTAAATGAAATAACGGATACCTAATTAAATCAAGAACAACGATTTTGTTGTTAGATATTTTGAATCTTGGGAAATAAAAAAATTACTCGATCATTTATCTAGTCTAGTACTCAATTGAATAGCAAATTTTATTTCATCATTCTTTAATTTTTTTTATATATAACAATCATTTTTATTTAAGAATTTTGTATTTGAACTTATCTAGTACTAGAATTTAATTCTTTTCAAGTCTTGATTCTCTTCTCACTCTGGATTGTTCCCAATTATTTTGAAAACTGTATATAAAGAGTATGTTTTCTCATTGTATGTTATACAGATTATTATAAATTAGTTATAAATAGTTCGTAGTGTTGTACACTACATCAGATAGAAAATTCTTTCAACTGTTCAAATCATTTTTCAAATTTGTTCGAGATATTATTTGATTGAAAAGAAAAAAAAAAGTAAAAATAAAGGTGGGCAAATAACTTTTCGAACCATTGTATATGTAGAATTTTTAATATACAAATAAATTTCAGCATTATCACATGCTATTAAAATATACCTATTAATATATACATCCATTTTTTTTCTATTTATTTCAAAAATTATTGAATACACTGTGTCTAACTTAAATCAATTTGATAAAATTAATAAATACCAAAAAGAAAACGAGGAAAAACAAAATACTGAGATATAGCTAAAATAAAAAAAAAGAAACAACATTTAATTAAACAAAAAACAAACAATTAAAACGGATACACTTTAAAAGTTTTAGTTACAATATTCAAACATTAGAATATAAATAAAAAGTTGGGACAGATGAAGACTTCGATTGATCGCAATCTTTGTAAACGATTGACCACCGATATAAAATTGATTTTTTAATGCATATTTTTCAGACATTTGAATTGAGCATAAATTTCTTTTCTTTATTTACGTTTTATATATGTGTCTGACTAATTGATCTGTTTTTTAGTGTGTCAAATTTTTTAGCAAAAAAACAACAACAACAAACAAACAAAACAAATAACAAAGAAAATTTAAAAAAAAAAAAACGAGAAAAAAAGCAAAAAAAAAAGAAAACCGAAAACCCGGAAAGAAAATACGGTAATATACTATTTTATTTGCATGCATCCCTGAGAATATTATGCTTTTCTTTTCTTTTTTTTTCTTTTATACGTTATATTTTCTTGAACACAGGTGAACAAACACTCGACGAATAAAAAATAAAAATTAAACGTGAGTCTGAACTAAAAAAATAGTAATTGTTAGGAGAAGATGATTGGCAGATATTTTTTTACTTAAATACATGGTGTCTACTTTTTTATAAAGAACAACATAACGAAATTAAAAACATGATAAGTAAGAAAGACGACAACCATATACAGTGTTTTGCTTTCATATATATATATATATATATATCTTTCATGAAAATACATTTCGTAGGCATCTTTCTTCAAAGCACAAAAAAATAAAATAAAATAAAATAATTTTTTAAAATTTTTACTATAGAATGCACATGCATAATGCCTAATTATTAACCATCATCTTTCAAACATTTTTTAAATATTTAAGAAGTACGTTTAAATAAAAGAATAAAATCAAAAATAACTGTCGTCAGTTGAACGATCAGTTTCTATTTAATTATGTGTAGTACATGTTAGCTACATGTAGAATCTTAGCAATCATAATAAAAGAAAACAAGGGCGTTCAATTTTAAATATTGTCACAACAATTTTATATCTGTATCTCGAGATAAAATGCTGATCAAAATGACATTTTTTCTGAAATGTTTGGAAGAAAAAATTTAACTTGACTATCATAAGAAATTCAAGGATTTTAGGAAAAAATTTTTTTTTTTATCTACTCTATTCTCTTATTTTCATTATTAGTTTCATCGTTCAACTGAAACAGAGATAATTGATGGCTAAATCGATTTTGATCTGTTAAGAAGTTATATTTAGACCTTCTGTTTCTCTTACTTAGTCTAGATTTTCATTATTCTGTAAGCCAAGCCAAATCAAAACTTAATTAACTCTTTTTTTTTTTGAAACATAACAATGAGAACGGTCCTTATGCCCTTCAAACAATCAATTTTTTTTTTGCAGCTAAAATGCAAACATGTTGATTTTTCACAAAATCAAATTCTAATCTTTCCAATTTGTAGAGCTTGTCGAGTTGAGTATGTGCTTAAATATTTTTGATAAAGTTATACATTCAAATTTAAGATGATAAAGCATAAGAGAGCAACTCCACTTAGATATAACTTTGTTAAAAACATTTATGCACATTAGAAAAGTTTTGTAAAAGTTAGAATTTATTTTTAAGGTATTTAGCTGGAAAAAAAATCGAGTCTATCATCAGAGGTATAAGGACAATCCTCATTGTTATATTCGACATCAATATAATCGATTATCGTTAATTACATTGGTTTTTATCAAAAAAAAGCGATTAGATACTTGAAAATCTTCTCTCGTAGGATAAACGAACGTAAAAATCAACAAATCAACAGATACATTAACGATGTCAATACATTATATATTAATCGTGACACAAGATTTTTTGTAAAATTTTAATAGAAAAACTGAAACATGTAAATGATATTACAAATCGAAAATCGATGAAAAAAAAACGTCTTATTTTTTTTGTTTTTTGTTGAAGCAATAATCTTATTATTTTATGGCTACCAAAATGAACAATAACTCTTATAATGTGTCAATTAAAACAAAAACCAAAAAAAACCACGTCACTGTTTTTGAAAAGTCACATCTAGCAGTAGTAGTATAGTAGTAGTAGTACTTAACGATGATGGGACTCTTGTATGGGTTTTTATTTTTTGCTCGGATGATTCTATATGCGGAAAAAAGAAGAACAAAAGATCAGATGATGCACTGTTATTCAATGTGACTGAAAGAAAAAAAATAAACGATAGAGAAGTATTTTGTGCCACATTTTTTTTTGTATATATATATATATACACACTCGAAAAAAAAAAGTGTTGATCATATAAAAAGAACAAACAAATGAAAACAAAGTAATGTCGAGAACCTGAGTAAAAACGATATATTATTTTATTCGTTATTGAGTATTTTATAGAAAAAATTTCTCACACTCACGCACACACACACACACACACACACGCACGCACGCACACACACAAATACAAAACACATTATGTCTTTATGTATTCGATTGTGGTCCATTTAACATTTCACCTAATAAACATCCATCTAATATTTTACCATCATTTTTTCTATCAACAAATTGTAATAATTTTTTCAAATCATTACCAATTAAACGTACATCAGGCAATTTTAATAGAATACGAGCAAATTTTTCTGTTTCAGCGGGTTGTTGTTGAACATTTGGTGATTGTGATCGATTATGTTCCGATGTATACTCACCTAATGCCGATGTTATTTTTTCTTGAACTTGTTCAATAACACGTGACTCAGTTATACCCGGGACATCTGCAATGAAAAAGAGAAAAAAAACAAACATAATTTAAAATACATAAGATATTATATCTTGAGACAAAGTTGTCTAAATAATACATAGATTTCATCATTTGAACACTATGTACATCTCTATCCTCTTATCCTACCTGGATCAAATAATACTAAATATTTTAATGCCAAATATTCTGGATATTGCCATTGTAAATTTCGAAATTCATTAACACATTGTAAATATCGTTCTGCTAACTTTTTAACAGTTGTATTTTCAATTTGATTAATGTTTAATAACTGGCCATTAGCCTACAAAAAGAAAAATAATCAATTTTAACTTGCATGCCATTGTTTGAAAAAAAGTAGAAATGTACTAATATATATTTCTTACACTAACAACACAACCAATACACGATTCTTTTGGTTGTTGACATTGTTTCCATATCATATCAATAATTAATATTTCAATCCATGCAGCTTTTAATAATTTAATCTGATTATCAATCTAAATACATATACATTATATAATAAGATACATAGACATATATAAATAGAACAGAATAATCATACTAGAATATCTTTGAAATATAATGATTGTCGAGCCCAATCAACCATTAAAAAACATAATTTATCCAATAAACAACAAACATTTAACATATCATCTCGAGATAAATCGATATGAATTCGATCGATTGCTTCTATATTACCAATTTCTGTACACTAAATAAGAAAAAAATTGATGATGCGTTACGCATAATGACCTTTAAAATTATCATAAATTAGTTTTTCTGTCGTCTTTTTTCGGTTTTTTTTCTCTTTTGAACGCACAAGGTTTCCACCAGTGATCGATGTTTATGTAACAAAAGTTTAATTAATGTTCAAGTCCAAGAAAACATAAAATGTGTGCACCTCAAACCTTGTCAGCTCTACCTTGACGTTTGTCAAAATATCGAAGATATACTCATTTATTTAGGGTAAAGAAGAAATCTATATCTATCCACAAGGACGTTCAAACTAATCAAATTTTGTTTTATCGTACGACAGTTAATGAATGTACCAGAATAACTTCGTTTTTCTTTTTAAACACGTGATTAAAAGTTATCTGCCATGAATAACCAAGAAATTTCATTCGTTTTTAATATAAGAAATAAAAACTGTCAACTTTTTCGCGAAAAGTATCCTACATATTCATATTCCAGAGATAGTCTTGGGAGGAAAAAAATACTATATTTTTTTGATAGTAAAAAAGCTGAAGGATAAACAGAGAGATACTTACTCGATAATTTTGATCTGATTCAACTAGTTTTTGTAATGTTTCTGGAATATTCGAATTATCTGTAATATCATTATTTGGTAAATATTGATGATTATAAAAATAAGACGGATGATTATTATTATTATTGTTATTATTATTATTATGTCTTATAGCACCAATTGAATCATTTGATCTCGAATTGTTCATATCATGGTTATGTATTTGCATAGTTAATTGATTTAATATTGATGATGTTGACGTATTTGTTGGATTTGTAGTCGTTGATGAAGAAGATGATGGTGACGGTGATGAAATATTATAATTATCTAATTTTGATGATAATTGTGCAATAGGAGAAGAACTCGAATTTGATGTGGACGAATTTGATTGAGGTTGTGGTGGCAAGAGAAGATTCGGTGGTGATTGCGAATAAGAATTTTTGTAATAATTTTCAGATACTGTTGATGAAGAGTTTGATGATTGTTGTTGCATCGATGATGCTGCAGCTGCTACGGCAGCAGCCGCAAATGGATTAAATAGTGTCGATTGTTGCATACGAGAATTTGAACCATTTGGTCCACCGTTATCAAAAAAATTTGGATAACCAAACGGACTTTTTGCTAAATTATGATGTTGATGTAATTGTTGTTGTTGTTGTTGCTGTTGTTGTTGATGATGTGCTGCGAAATGATGTGTACCGGCTTGAGGATGATGATGTGTTGGTGGTCCACCACCGCATGGTGGAGCCAAACCCGGATACATATGTTGAAAATGTGATAAATTATTTGGATTTGGTTGTTCTGGTTCGGATTTGATGTGAAGTCCACCACCATTTCCGAGATTATTTGGATCAAGAGACGTATTTAACTCATTGGGCATTATACTTTGTTGAGCTTTAACCATACTAACAAAATGTTGTCTCATTATTTGTTGTCTTAAAGCTCTACTTCGTCTATATAATGGACCAAATTTATTTCTTCCACCACGAACACGATTTTCTCTCACAGCTAGTTAAAGTAGATAAATTACAAAAAAATATTCAATTACTTGAATATTGAAATAGAAATTTCAAATATACCTTCTAATTTCATGCCAACTTGTAAACATTTTTTGAATCGACAAAATGCACATCGTTTACGTTGTGTTTTGTCGATCTGACACTGTTGTTTATCAATACACTGGTAATTTTTCTTGTTTTGTACTGTTCGTTTGAAAAATCCTAACAATAAATGAGTAGAATATAAGTCTCTTATGACATATAACATGGCAGTTAAAAATCACTTTGACGTTTGTAGAGATCTAATTAGATGGACGAAAATCGACTAGTATTTTATTTTAAAATGTTTCTAAACATACAGATATTCTTCTGTGCTTATCTCGATCTGTATATTAAATATGATAATACCTTTTTATAATACAGAGGCCAACGTTCCTATGGATTTGAAACAGAAACCATTATAGCCGTAACATTCCTGTGTGAACACAACCATTATATTTCGCATTCTAATACTCAAAAACATCTTTTCGTATTGTTTCTTATTTCTTTGACCCATGAACAATATGATTTATAATTGCATTTTTATGAATATTCAAATCATAGTAAATTTTCAACCAAATTTTAGTTTTTTACTCAAGACATTTTGGACGATAGACAGACACTATTTCAACTACGCTGATAAACTAGTTCATAAACTTAATGATTTTCTAAGTTTTTTTATGCTCTCTTCTGATTAAGTTTTAAGAGTGGGCATTTATAACGGTCTAGTTTATACTCATTAATCTTAAATAACCGAAAAGATATTTATTTACCTTTGCAACTTTCACATGTTAATAATCCATAATGAAATCCGCTAACTTTATCACCACAAACTGGACATAAATCATTAAATCCAAATTTGACGTCTAATGGGACGTCAGGCGACGGGACATCCAGGACGCCTGGACCTAAAATGAATATTCAACTGATAAATTCTATCCAGTTCGACTAAATAATGGTTTAATATTTCGGAGAAACGAGTAGTGTGTATTCTAGTCATTAGTAAACATCTCACATTTCTCTTTTTTCTCAATGGAGATTATTGTCTCGATTCCAACACAAATAAACCGTAGTACACTAAGATAGTCTTGTTGATTTTTCTTTTCATTTCGTTTGAAATGATTACTCAAGATTTAAAAAAAAGAAAAAGAAATACGGTGCACATATCCATGTTAAATTTCATATTCTTCTTTTTTTTTTTTAAATTCAAGTATGTGGTTACTTGAGCTTTTTTACCTTTTTCGACAGTTCGATGAAATAAATGTATATTTATAATTTTTGTACGTATTTTACATAATAGAAGACATGTAAATCCATAGACTAATAAGAAATATATTAAATAATAGATGTCAAAAAGATCAAATAGAACATAAAACATCTACCTGCCCACAGACACACATCTTTAACATAGAAACAAATGTACGTGAAACTGAGATACTACTGTACTATTCTATTTAGTTATCAATTATTTCATTAATACCCCATACTTTAATAGATATTTTAGTAGAGTCATTCCTTTTTTATAACTGGTCTACAAACATATCTATACTGGCAAATAATCGATTCTAAGAAGAAGAATATCACCTCAGTATATTTACTATATATAAGACTAAAACATGTCAAAAGTTAAATATGTATTACTGTTGACTTTGATCAAGTAAAATATAAAAGAAAGAATAAAAGAAAAAAGAGACGGAGTCCCGATAATAATGAATTAATACGTTACGTTAGCTTTAAAAGCAAAGTAGAAAATAGGTAAAAAAGAAAAACAGAGTAATCGTGTCGATCGTCATCATCATCCATATACTATGCATAATAATAATATTTTAAATGAGATAAAACGTTATTACGCAATTTAGAGTACGTCAACATACAATATAAAGTCAACAAAGACAAACTATTTGCGCATAAAACAAATATTGTTATCGTTTTTTTTAGTGTTCAAAATTAAGAAGTCGTAAACTAAAATCAAACAATAAAGTATAGTCAAATATTTGATTCTCTTCTAATACAGTATCTCCAGAAAAATTTTAATATTTAATCGATAATTAAAACTCGCTCATACATAGAAAAAAGAAGAATTGATCGCAAAACGAAAAAAAAAAATGACGCAATCAACATGAATAAATAATAACAATTATCGTTTGTTTTACTAGAACGAGATATCTTTTTGATGTAATAAAGAATAATATGTACGCCATCGTTTTTTTCTGTTCAGTGACACGATGATTTTAAGCGAATAATTGGAGCGCAAATATCAGCGTACACATCACCTTAGTATATGATGATGAAGAAGAAGAAGGGGGAAAAAAAAATGATAATGTTTCTTTTTCTTTTTTCTTGTTCTTCTCTTTCGTATATATCTCGCGAACGTCAAAAGGAATTCCAACTATTATGCATAAAGCAGCTGTGTGCCTTTGTTCAATACTTAACCCGAAATGAAATCGATTCAAAGAGTAGATTTATTTATTGATTATTCATAATATACACACTCCTACAACACAACAACTGTTTTCTATCATAGAATATCGAAACAATACGTATATTCTAAAGTTTATTAAAAGTTACATATTTGTAGTTCATCAACTCGATACTAGAACCGAATCATTTCGAAGCTTTAAATTCTAGTATGATCGATCTAACATGATTTTCGTACTCTGAAGAGTACTACAGAAACTACAACGATCATTTCCTATGAAAAATCTTTTTTAATGAGTCGCTGTTTTTATTTTAAAATCAAATTCTTCGTACACTCTGTACTTTTGTTCAATAGCATGAATAAGAGTGATGTGCAAATAGTTTCAATAAATAAATTAGTTTGAACGACAAACAAGTATTTAAAGCGATGTTGAATAAAAAAAGGTAGATACTTAATGCAACAGAGCAAAAAAAATATCAGATTTTCATCATAAATTCAATCAAAAAGTTTTATCTGTCACAATGCATTTATTATTTTAAATGAGCAATTTTTTTTAGTGTATTGTATTTCCCCATATACCCAACATCAGCTGATCATACTTTTAGCACAAAAAAAAAAGATTCATGATTCTATGATACGAAAGTATTAGATAAACTGATCATTTTTAGTAACTAGTGCTTGTAAATTATTCTAATGTGAAAGAACTGCAACTAATTTTTTTACTCACCAAAAAAAAGAATTTAATTAGAAAAAAAGAATAATTATAAAACAAGATATTTAAAGAAAAAAAATACGTTAGATATTTTAACTTTGCTACAAATAAATTTGTACCATGATAGATTCCGATACACACATTAGCTTCTGTAATATTTTATTCTACATTGTGCAACAATTGTACGAAACGAGCGAGAACAATGATTTTTTTTTCATCTTTTGTTCTTCTTACGAAAGTATTTTGTGTACGATGTATGTAACAAAGAAAGAACTAGTTCACTCTCATATTGCCCTTGTTGGTTCTTTTTTTTACCAGTTTCGGCGCGTTCTCATTACGTTCTTCTTCTTTTTTTTTGACCTTTTTTCTTCTTTTATACACTGATCGCTCTTTCTTTTACAGCTATTTTACTACAAAGAGAATCGAGTTGTCGCCGCCGCCGCCACCGACGCAATGTTACTATTTTTGAAACACACACATATAACCCACAACTCGAAATAGAAATAGTAAAATTCATATATATGTGTGTGTATGTGTGTGTGCGCAAAGCGAGGCGTTCACTATTGCGCAAAAATACGTAACAAATAAGAGATGAACATCCTGTGTTCGAAAAATTCAAGCTGTTTTCTCTCCTTCCTTCTTCCGTTCTCTTTTATGCGGCTTATGAGAACAATGTATTTTTTTGGTGCATCTTTATATTTAGTGGCCTTGCGCAACTATCGACTTTGTGTGTGCGTGTGCATGTGTGAGGTGAACATCGAAGAAAAAAAGCAATTTGTACAAATAATCAAAGGCATATTTTAGTATTTCTTAAATAAACAAAATGGATGGTAAAAAAAAAAAACATTGCCAAAAAAACGAAGAGGATTGAGCATCAATAACAAAAATGTATAGGCATGTAAACTACCACAAAATGATATTTTACAAAATTTTACAAAGTATTTTGTACTACAAATGAACCAAAATATCGAGTGATTAATTAAATTTCAATCATTTCAATATAAGAACAACAATATGAGAAAATCTGTAATTAAAGCTAAAATTTCAAAATCAACACTTCCGGTCTTCTTACACAGATCAAATTTAATGTCATTGTGTTATTTCTTTTTTTGTTTTTACTGCAGACGTAATGAAAGGCAGACAGACTAGTATATGAACAATAGATTTAGCAAGGTTGGACTTGGGCGAATGGTTTTCTTCTATCAATATGTATATATAGTCTAGTATGTGCGTGTGTTTGTAACACGTTTTGTTTTCGTTTCACCGATTTTTTTCTCTCCTTTATTTGATTAAAAAAAAATTATTCTATACCTTTTCTCGCTTTGGGAAAACTACAATACCGTAAAAGAAAAGACGAAACATTATTGATCAAAATAAAGTAGATGTAATCATGATCAAAAATTGAACATGTCCCTATCTATAGTTTAAAATGATAAATAGTTGGTGATCAATTTCATAGTGTAGATCAAGTAATGGAATTATAAAAAAAAATTCTTAAATATCTTGAGATATTCGCTTGTTTTCGCATGAGCAATAAAGAATGATTATTACTAAGCTAAATAAATCATAATTGAAGTAAAAATATAGAATAAAGACTCGAGAATCGAACAATACATCTGGATCGTAGCTTCATTACCACAAAAAAGTGACAAAAATACTATATGAAAGATTTATTGTTTACAGTCTTACGAACAATATATCTAATACAATTCTGTACATTTTAAACTTCCATTGTATAAAGAATTAATTACGATAGAAAATTTACAGAGGTATGGAATATAAATTAAAAATTGATCATAGTAAAGGATTTTTTAGCTGCACATTACTAGATTAAGGAGATCAAAATCAAAATCATTCATTTAACTGACAGTTGAGAACGTTTTTTGGACTAACAAGCTGATAAAATATTACCATCACCTGAAAAGTACTTCAGGCTATAACGCCAAGAAATAAAAATGATTATATTGCATGTTTTTTTGGTCAAATAAGAGTTGTACTGCTATCGATCGACAAAAAGAAGCTTAATTCTAAAATTGAGGAAAAACTTGTGATAGAAGTGCTTTTCATGCATAAACAGCCGTACATTTTACACACACACCTGTTCATTCTCATTTTGTACCTTATGGATAAAATTATGTGATTCATTATATTACTGTATATTTCAAACATAATGAAATAATCAAATTTTTAAATATATAACATATTTTCCAGTATCATTTGTACAAAATGTTTAGTTACTTTGTTTTTTTTGCTATATTCTGTTCATAATCATGAAAATAATTTCTATTTCTTGAAATTAAGAAAGCATTTAGTTCACTTCTTTCTTTTTTTTTATTATGATAATCTTGTTTTCATTGTCATAGATCAATGTCTGGACAAATATGGTAGAAGTTCAAGTTTAACTTATTTTTATAAATATATACGTGAGATAGAGAAAGAGAAAAATGAAGTTCACTCGGTTGTACATATATCTCCATCTTAGATATGTGAATATGTATCATATATATCTGTTACATATATTGTTTTGCTTACCCATACGACTCAAACGTGGAGAATAAATCTTCTTCTTCTTCTTGGTAGTGGTAATAGTTAATATTACAGTTGAAGATCGGTTCGTGTTGAAGGATAAATGCGTAACATTTGCGCTCTGTGAAATACATCCAGTTGTTTCTTTTTATGCATTATATGATGTATGCATGTATGTGTAGGAGAAAGAGAGAAAACGTTTTTTTTCCTCTAATATAGTTTTTTTTTTCAATTCTCTTTTTTTTTCTCTGTACGTATTCTGTCGCCCATGAACCGATGACCATGTATATATAGAAAGAAGAGAGAAAAAAATACAAGAAAAAAAAGAAAACGCTTTCGTTGTACCCAAGCGTCCATGTCGGACTTTTTTTTTATTCTCTTGTTCATATCCAAAGAAGATGAGCTTATACAAAACGAATATAGAGGCACAATAATGCGCTTTGCGTCGCGAAAAGCAATCATAATTTTTCTTTTACTTTATGATGTGATAGTTACATGAATGGAGCAATATTGTTAGTGTTCATGAACAAACCAACTTTTACTTGTTGTACATATATATATATCACCGTTATGTACAATGAAAAAAATAATAATACATATCGGGGTTCTCATATGACTCAAAAAGAAGAAAAATTCTAAAACGAATGATGTGTGGGTGGCGCTTTTTTCTTTAGTATTTAGTATTGTGATATCAAGAAAATATAAAACGTACTATATATAAGTTATATATATATATATATATATATTTAAATATTCGGTACAATCGTATGGCGATGTAATACCTTTATATATATATATTTATACAGTGTTCAAATGAATATATAGGTCCAACATTGAGCTTCATGTGACAAATGATATGGTCTATTTGACTAGATTTTCAATTACAAAATATTTTAGTCATAAATGACAAATAGTTTCAACGATCACGTTCGTACAGAGACATAACTATGCATTGATAGACGTAAAAAACACACATTCTTTTTCAAAAATTTATTAGGTTTCACAATATTCGTTCTATATAGCATTCCAATTAACGTTCTTTACCACTCTTTCACAATCGAGATTCAAACGAAGGTTAAAAGAATTAGCTACTGTCAATTGTAAAACCCGTTGTTTATAACGTTCTAAATTTATTTCAACTGAGATGAGAGAAAAGACATAAATATGATTTTTTTTAAACTACTTTTTCACGTTTTAGAATAGAAATTAAGCTTAACATATATCTTATTCTGCTTTCAAACTAACTCATTTTTAGTATGTAATTTAAGTTTGTTCTATGTGTTAGGAAGCATGATTAATTATATATTAAAAGCCACATAAAGGCAGTAAACTATAGGTACGTGAATATTGGAGCCCAGATGGTCAGTCGTCACTTTTGATATTAATAAAACTTTTTTAGACTTAACAAAGGTCTCATATTTAATCGTAGCTATTATGTGAATAATATTGTAAATGTATTTATAATCAGCTAGAAATATTTATAAAAATACTTTTTAACAATTTTTATGAGTTTATATCGATTTTGACTACTGCTTACGTCTCACACTAACGAAAGCAAAATAAAATGAAGTTTCTAAAAATTCTTATTAAACTTTGCATAAACCGAAAATCTGACTTTATAATTTAACTGATTATTTCAACCGTAATACATAATAATTTGAAGTAGTATACGATATGACTTGTAAATCTATTTGATGCTTTATCTTATCATGTCAAACCCCAAAGTAGATATTTTGCACGCGTTTTCTAGTTGGCACATCATCATAATGCAAAACATATGGAATTTGAGTATAGAGCACAAAAACTTGCGTTTTTATGGAGAAAAAAAATCTGTTCAGTTGCTACTAATATATATTTCATAATATGTACGCGTACAAAGTTGTCGTTGTCTGAAACAAAATGAAAAGTACACTACGGATAAGGTAGAGAACATATTAACTTGGATGCACACACATATGATAAAAGGGGGAGTGAAAAATCTAGATCAATACACACAGTAATACATTTTTTTTCTCTCCCTCTCTCACCGTTGAACATTGTCGGTGACTGACTGACCCTTTAAAATAAGAAAAAAATAGTTTCATGTCTCTATGGTAATGTGCTTTGTTCTTCTTTCTCTTCTTTTTTTTTTTATGACTACAGACATATATATAGTTGAAGGATCTAAATATGAACTTATTACATGAAACGCCAGACTCATAACCTTACATGAAGGGCAGTCATATACTGATAGTTTTGATGTAGACTCTTTTATTCATACACACAAAGCAACTGACCATATGCGCACACTCGAGACAAGATTAATTTAAGAGAGAGAGAGAAAGACTTCTTAAACAAATCAAATGTGCAGACATCTCTTCACTGAAGAACAATAGAAGAAATGATAACTAATCACATCGATAATATGACATTGAATGAACATGTTTAAAGCCTTCTGTTGTATTCATTTACATAATGCAAACATCAAACTATTCGTTCAATAAAAACTCAGCTGAGCTTAATAGACAAGATATATAAATCTCTTACATAATCGTTAGCATACTTAAGATAACAAAAGAAAAATAGATTAAAGAATATTAGATAAAATATTACGTTATAGCCAAATCGAGCAATTTAAAGAACCAAAACTGACAGATATATCCTTTTGACTTTTAATTTACTACTGAGCTCAAAATAATACGATGAGCTAAGATACGTAAAGTTTTGAGAGGGTCATTGGTTCTAATATTTTTAAATTGTCTTTTTATATTCACATTATCTGATCGCTTGTGTACATACATACAGGCCATGCAACGTTAGCTAACCTACTAAAGACAAATCGCTAGTGATTAGAACATACCTCCTACATCATAATCTATCGAATCAATTTTGCGCGCTTTTTTTTTTGTAATGTTGATGTCTTTTTGATCTACACTTTCAAAACGGTTAACGTCAATATTTTCGTTTTGATGGTTAATGGAATCAATTGTTGCCGTTGATGATGGCGGTGTTGGTGTACGTACGTCTACATCAAATTTTCTATCTGAATTATTGTTGAAACAATGATCATCAATTTCTATATCATTCGAATAAGAAGATGAACAAAAATAAGATGATGAGGGTGTTAATGTTGTTTTACAATCACTCATTTGATATTAACATCTAAACAATATAAAACATATAAATTTAGGTTCAAAGTTAGAGAAATAACAAAAAGATTTACCTTTTAATTGAAGAGCACAATAAATAGAATATAAAAATTTCTAAACAAAATAAAATGTGTCAAATACATAGAAAAACATTTATTATTTCAATATACAAGAATACACCATAGATAGATAAAATATCCTAGATCGTTGTACTTCCAGACTTAAATACTACGTTTACAGATTTTTTTCATTTTTCTGTCCGCAATAAATGCTAAAAGTCTTCTCAATTATCAGTCTCTTGTTAAAATTTTCAAACGAACAAGCAGCGTTTTCGATACAAGTTTTGGGAGGTCCGCTGAGTAACTAAAGTGTTTTTGAATAACGCGTTTTTTGAGCTAAATTTTTTTTCGAGCAACTGCATGTTTTAAACTAATTGAAGACTGAAAATGAGTTGGAGTTTCTCAGGAAAAAAAACAACATACTCAGACGCTAGAAAAAATCCTTAACTGCATAAAAGACACTTTCTCAGCTTAAATTTTCTAAAATATTTTTAAGTAATTCCTATTCAAAGGAGGAGGTGGATTTCCATTCCCTAATCGAAAAGGCTCCCATTGCGTCATAGTTAAAAAACTATTTCAACATTCCAATTTAGTTTTTCTGAAATCAACAAGTGATAATAAAAAGCCTGAGCTTGATGAGTCCTACAACGAACGCTAAAGACCCTTTCGATGGCCAAAAGCTATAACTATAATCTGTAAAAATAGTGAAAACATCACACCTATTTTCTCCTCCGTGTTATTTATTTTTAGGACTAAAAAAATCTAAGATAAAAGGTTGAAAATTTCCACGCTTTTATGTATTATTATCATTCATTCTCGAAAAATCCAGAAAAAAAAACGCCGATACAATTAGATGTCATCTTAGGACTCAATGTACACAGTGGTCTATTTTTGCTACTTTATCCAGTTCTATCTTTTGTTTTAGACATTTTTGCGATTAGTTCAATCTTTGTTTACTCGCAAACAAGCGTAAATCATTTTCGAGATGAATTAATTTCTTAGGAACACACATTTACATAAAGTATGTATTATTACTTATTAACATTTTTCATGGTTGATTGACTTTCGCGATGCAGCAAAGAAAAAAATTGAACTTACTTGAAAATAAATTAAGAGTAATCTATTAATCAATTTTTTGTCATTTCACGGAAGAAAATTTAAGAAATCGCTATTCAAATGAAAATAGCCACTAAAACTGGCTTTATAAAATCTAGAATACATAAAATTCAAAACATTCAAATTATTGTTCGTTAATGAGAAAAAGAAATTATCTAAATTAATTCAGAATTCATCCATCTAAAGTGCTTCTTTGTCGTCTAGCGATATCTATTAAGTCGGCCAGTCAGAAGATAAAACAAAAGAAAACGTTGGACGATTAGAAACATATTACAAGGTTAAAACGCGTGCAATCCATACTAAAAGCGTATGTCGCGAAAAAAATAATGGCCTTCACAAACGACCTTAAGTTCTTCCTTGCCTCAATTTTTATTACGTTATTCTCTTTTCGGGAGCAGTAAATGAATGAAATATATGGACTTCTTTTCATCGTTCCCTCGACGCCATCTTCTTCGAAGGGATTCGCTGAAAAATCAGATCAATAAAAGAAATGTTATGTACCTCTACCGAACGCTTGCTATAGGAAACCGTTTTATTACTATATTGTAAAAGATTCTTTTTTAAATGTAAGATACTCACAACTTAAAAAGTGTTCGTTTTTCTCACGATTCTTCGACAAAAGATTGGGACTCATAGCGCTCGTACGATCATTTCTCCGCTGAGGTTTCCTACGGCGTTTAGTTGTGAAATGCAGAAGAATGGTGCTGAGATATTCTGTTTATTTAATAAAGCTTCAGCGTTCAACAATATAGCTTAAAAATATGCCAGAAAATCAAAATGATGAATTCATAGAGAAAAATGATGTTATCGTCGAAAGAAGTATAGATATGAGTCCCACTTCATCAAAAATAAATGATCTTACAAAGCATCATCTTAATAGGTTAGATTTTTTTTAATATCAGAAGTTAAATATCTGTCTCATTGCCGGATCATAAAGAACAACAGTACAAACGAAAAGAACTCGTGAATGGTTTATGTACTGCATTTCTGCCTGGTAAAGTGTTTAAGCCTCATCCATTGCTCAATAAAGTTAGACAACAATCCAGCAGTTAGGACTAAAAGTTTGCAAATTATTTCGTGTAAAATAGATAGCCTAAACTGTTCCTTAGTTTTTTAAAGCCAAAATTGAAATGGTATAACTTTAAAATAAATTCATATCATCGGAACAAAAAAAATAAAGTTGGTTTTGAGTTGCTGAAAAATGCTTTTCCGTATTCAGCACACTCGATAACCCAGAAGATTTTCTATTTTTGCCAAAGGATATTTCCAAAAGTTTAGGAAGAACTTTTCAAACTAATATTATTTTCCCATGGAAATCTTTTTGCACCAGTTTATTTCAAAATTTTTCCTAAACTTTTGGAAGTACCCCTTGTCAAAAATAGAAAATCTTCTGGGTTATCGAGTGTGCCGAATAGGGAAAAGCACTTTTCAGCAACTCAAAACCATCTGTATTTTTTTTGTCTCGGTGATATGCATAAAAAAGTGATACAGCAGAATAAGCCTGCAAAAATTCAGCGTTCCTTTTTAGCGTTCTCTTTGAACGTGAACGCTAAACATGCCGTTTTTTGAATGTGAAGGCGTATGTTCTGGTGAACGTTAACTTTATTTTATATGAACGGTGGTGATCTTGTATAGAATGAATAGTATTACAAAACGTTATATAGTATACCAGGTCAAACAGCTTTCTTCATTACCAGTTATATTTAGTGAAAAATCAACGCTCGTTTGTCCCAAATGGGTTACGGTAACAAAGGAAAACGTATGTGTTACTGTAATGGTTTTGACCAAGGAACTTCAGTTCCATTGCTGGAAAAACTAGTCTCCTGGTCAGGAAATCCGCGATCTGTTCTTGGAAGAATCAATGTCTTGATCAGAGAATCAAGGAGTATCCTTTTTACATTGCAATAATCTGGTCACTGCCCTGAGCAGACCATCTGATCGTTCACTAGAGTTTCTATTGATCAGATAAGACCAAGCAGAAATGTATGTTCTTACTACAGTACAAGTACAGAAGTTTATATTTACTTCAGACGATATGGACACCGTTCGTATAAAAAAAGTTCACGTTCCTCAGTACTTTAGCGTTCACGTTCAAGGAACGCCGATGTGCTTTAGCGTTTACGTTCAAGGAACGCAACGTGAACTCTTGCAGACCTACAGCAGAACCAAGAGAATTTTAAGTTCTTTTACATAGCGGAAAAATCACAGAGAATTCGATGTAGTTTCCATTATGAGTCCAAGTATATTCGAGACAGACAAAATTTTCAATAAAGAATCGACAGACTATAATTCGCTATTAATTCGAATTCTAGTGATAAAGTATGGACAACACTTAATTAAGTTGAAAATGGAATATCTCTTGTTTTAGCAAATCATCAGCTAGTGATCAAACAAGCAGCATTAAGATAGAAAATATGAAGTTTGTTTTTGTATATGGTATATTTTTTCTGTTTCAAAAGTATTAATTGCCTATTGTGGCTCCTTTTCGAATTAGGACCACCTCGTTCAGGAAAAACGGCTCTCACCAAATATTGGTGTAAAAATTTTTACTGGCAATATATAAATGTAGCTGATATGATTCGAGAATATACTTCACCACCTATGTTAAAAGACGAAGTTTTGGAGAATATTCGAACCAAAAGTGGTTTTGATATTTTTTATATAAATGAATATAAGGTGGTAGTTTCCGATGGTTGAATATATATTTTCAATAAGTTTTATATTATTCTAGCAAGATATTATTGATTTGATACGAAATGAAATATTATCGAAATTAAATGATAAATTGTCCATACCAGGATTTATTATTGATGGTTTTCCGCCAAATAGTAAAAAAGCAGAAGAATTTGAGAAAAATGTATTGTAGAAAAAATATAACTAAATAGAAAATTAATGTATATTAAAGTGCTTTTTATCTCGTAATTAGATTGGATCTGTGAGTATCGTTATTCATTTATATCTAACATTAAACGATGTCATTCAACGTTTTCGTGAATATATAACAAAAGATAATATGCAACAATCCGTTAATTTACAAACACTTTTACAACGATTAGAAACCTATATGGATGAAGAAAAAACAGTATCCAGTTATTTTCTTCAAAAAGGCAAATTAAATGAGGTTTAATATTTTTTGTTATGCCATAATCTCAGAATATGATCACGAATATTCTTTACTTTTGTACAGTTTGATGCAACGATGAATTTTAACTCATTAACAAGTGAAATATTTGATACATATCAAAGACATTTTTTAGATACAGAACATCGAAAAGGTTTGATAGCGCGATCATACTGCTATTAAATCATAAGAACTTTCCATGCTTACGAAAATGTGTGATTACAAAAAAATGCCTTCTTCTTAAGAATAATTGTTTATATTCATAAACATTGAAGTCACATTTCTGTTTTAGATTATAACCAACCAAAATCATTGTCAGTGGATTTAGAAAAATATTCTGCCGAATGCCTCATCTATGTTTACAATGTACTCGATAGTTTAAATAAACAGTATACATTAAATATGAATTATAAGTCAGGTAATCATAAAAAGAGTACATAACTAATTATCTCAACAAAACAAAGACTTTTTAGTGGAAAAAGAGCTCATGTGAGAAACAATCAGGTTTTTTATGTTGTAGAAAATGACTTTTGCTTGAAACAGCATTTTCAGTTTATAAGAAATACTTATGTAATGGTCTTTGGTATGCCCGGTAGCAGAAAATCGATGATATGCGAGAGGATAGCATACAAATACAATAATCGGTTACATTTTATATCAGTTGCTGAAGCCTTACAGTTCATGGTAGGTTTAATTATTTATTATCATTTTGTTAATTAGACGCTAAAAACATTGACGATTTTTATCTAAATCGTAACTTAGATTACATTTAGGTGAAATTTCGTAATCCATTTACGGATTACATTCTATATTTATATGAGAATAAAATCAAATTTCCAATGGTAAACTAGATACCATTGTTTTCTCACGATAGCAAGAAAAATCTATTGTTTACTGTAGGATTTAGAAATAGTTTCATTGATTTATTTTCTCAATTGGAAATATCCTTATACATCAACATTTTTAATAACTGGATTATCACTTGACCAAGATCTTTTAAAAGAATTTTATAAAATTGTAAGGGATATATATAATTTATCTATTTTTAATTATCATTTATGTGAGATATTAGTTTTTCAGATCGCACCACCCAATCTCGTTATCTATATCAAAATAGATGAGTTATTAGCACAAATGAATATTAGACAACGATGTTCGATGATTTCAGATTGTCTAGATTGTACGAAAAATCTAATTAATAATCGACTGGAAGCATTCAATTATACAACAAACGATTCACTACGTTATATACGAGAAAATTTTAGATTAGAAACTGTACGTTTTATTATAAGGATAAGAGCTGAATATTTTTAATATTTAAACGATGTTTAATATATTTATAGATTGACGGTAACATATCATATGAAGATCTTTTGAAAAGATTTATCGAATTATTATTACAATACGGTTTTATTTGATAAGAGACCGCACAAAAAAAAAATCGACATATATTAATGATCTAACAACATTACCATTTTAACATTTCATATTAAGTTTTTGCAATTTGTGCGTACTTATACGTAACTTGTTGATTAAAATGTAAAATTATCTTGAAACTTGTGCATTATGATGAAAGATAATGAGAGAGTCACGACCATTGTGCTTGTCTAATTTAACAGCAAACTAATTATTTCTATCTTTTGTTATTTTAGATGTCTTGCGGACGTCATAGACGTGCTGTTTCTTCAATATTAAATTCTCAATTACGTAATCGTCATGATGTAAATTCTACAACGAATGGAACAAAAACGAGTCGTCATTCAAAATCGAATGCAAAAAAGACTAAACAATCACAATTATCTAAAAATATATCAGAGGAAGCTACCACTCATTTCGAAAAATTTAGAGTAGATAATTTACGAACAGTTTTTCGTCTTTAAAAAGATTCATTACGATTATTTTAGATCCTCGATGAGAACGGTATTAATTTTACACCGCGACCACTTCATGACTATGTTCGTGTTAAAGTTCGACTAACTGATAAAGTACCGATAACATTAGACCATCAACAAGAATCTATACTAAGATCACAAGAAAGAACTGGACAATTTTCACAATCAACGCAGATGACAGCTGGACTATTTTCTGTCGGGTAGCAGTGAAAAATATATCATTTGCCGTTTTTCACCTATAGTATCTCTTTTTTAAGCACTTTACCAGCTAGCACATTCATTTTCAAAAGTGATGATATAAGAGATGGAATAAATCAATCCTATACAATCAATCAACTAGCAGAAAAAAATACTGATGGAGAAGATACTGCACGGTTTCTGCCAGGTATTATAGTGAATTAAAATTTCTGTAAATAAATGTCTAGTCATTATGTAGTTGTTGTTTAAACAGGTGTAAGTTTAAACTGGATTGAGCCGACACTTGAAATAATTCAATTATTAGAGACTGAAACGATATTTATACTAAATTTGGTAAGCCATGTTGTCTTGAAAGATGATGAAATTGATTATAATACAGTATTAGAACGAAATCACATTTATAATGAGGTAAGTAATTAGACCTTTTTTTCGTTAAGTTTGACTTTTAGAGGATTTTTTAAACCAATGGCGAAATGAAATGCTCAGCTCTCATAGTGGAGACGTAAGGCTGATCAGCTATACCTTAGCATCAAGGCTGGCCGAGTCCGAACTGGAGATTTTTTTGAAAAACTCGGCCCCGAAGTTGAATTTTTGTGTTTCGAGTCCGATCGATTCAAGTTCTTACATAATTCAACAGGAAAATTTTCAGTTTTTCAATATCAGTATGGGATATGCAGTAGAAGTTTACTTTTGTAAGTTTTTCTGTTATAATAAGATTGATGTCTTGTACGGCATAGGAGAAAAGAAATATAAATAGCGACAGCCAAAAAGGTTTGAAAAAATTATCAGACTCGAAATGGACTCGGACTCGGTACCCCCCCTGCTTACCATTATTTGGCAACTTTTTATGCGTTCTTCCAATTGACACCATTCTCTGTCTGATGTAGTTTTGTAAAAACCGACACGGAAATGATTTATACATTGAACGAGGAATGCAGACGTTCAATAATCTTCCAAAACATGAAGCAATACAAACAGATTCAGTTTACGTAAAGGTAAAGGGTTGCATTTATACACTAAATGTTAGGTACTAAAGAAGTTGCTATAACGTAGGCACTATATTTAAACGATGGATCAAAGTATGTCTAAGTGCAGTATTTAGTCGCTACATCTGCTTTTAGTCGGAGAGTGTGTGGGCTACGACATGGGACATGGCTGATTCACTTCTAGAAGCAGAACAATATGAAGGAAAAGGTAAAACTTGTTATTAAGATGCTACGACTGAAGATTATAATCGTAAAGATTTCTCTTTCCTGTAAGTCTATTCACAAATTGGTGATAAAAAGCGTGCAGAGAAAATTCTACGTTATGTCGATCAACACGGTGAAGTGTCATCGTTACAGCAAAAGTTGCTTTTTAATTCGACAGCCACATCACCGTCATCGAACAGTATGTCAATACTCTGTAGTATTTTAAATTAGATTTGATGGACACCATGATATTATTTGTATTTTCTCATAGCGTCATCCTTCATATTTTCAAGCGATTCACTCATCAAACTGACACAATCGAAAATCGATTGTTTTGCTGATGATGATGAAGAGAATAAGTCGAAAAAGGTTTTGTTAAAATATATAACACACGATGACATTGAAGTTTTGAAAAATATTGATTATTTTCTTTTATTGTCGAGTCTCATTTTTTAAGCTTCCACCGATTGATGTCGATGCTTTCATTATGGAACGAATATTGAATACTGGAGCATATCAACATAAACAAGCTATCTATCGTGGTCTAGAAACATCTATGACTAAACAAGAGAGTAAAGATACATCTTCTTTCAATGTACTCGATGTCAAAAAGGGCTCATCACTAGGTGTCCGCATGAACGACAGTCAAATGATGAGCCCGCAAAGATTGACAGTGAATCATTTGAGCTTAGAATGCTTATGGTCCTATACCACTTATTTAACTTACGGAAGAAATGTTAGTTGTATGACGTGGAACGAGCAAAATGAGGTGCATATACTCATGAACTTATACGATTTTTGTTTTTACTCACTGTACTTCTCGTATCAGGATTGTACTTCTTTTTTTCAGGATTTATTAGCAGTCGGTTACGGAGAATTCCAGTACAATGACGCAAAACATGGAATTTGTTGTTGTTGGAGTATAAAAAATCATGAAGTATTGGTAGAGCTCTCTCTCCAATTGTGTAATAATTGTGAGTTATTTGTCTGTATTTCAGTTTCCTGAACGTTATTATGAAACAGAAGCGTCAGTATCAGCCATTGCATTTTCTATAAAACATCCAAATCTTTTAGCGGCGAGTTTTTTAGCTAAAACGCTCTGATTAAAATCTATAGGAAAATTTTACTCTCTAGGTTGGTCTGTTTTCAGGGAATATCGTCGTGTTTGATGTACATAACAATAATACTAGTCCTATTATCGATATAAGGTAAATTGCTCACCTTTTTCCTCTAAATACATTATAAAATTGGGTGTTGTTTTATTCACACAGTGAATATGATAAAAAACACACGAATCCTGTGTGGCAACTATCATGGACCGACCGTCCACACAGGGGACAATTAACGGAAACACAAACTCTTGAAGTGCTTGTCTCTATCTCAGCCGATGGTCGTGTTACACAGTGGACTCTACGGAAAGGACTTGAATCAAGTGGTATGATTCTCCTTTTTAATTGACCAATTCAGAAGATTGCGCGATCATTCATCTTTTTTAGATTATATGCGCCTTAAACGCTACAATGTTTCTCAAGCATTATGCCACACATTGAGAAAAAAGGATGGTACCTATGCTGAAGGCTTATTTTCGCGATATGTAGGAGGTTTATGTTTCGATACTCGACCGGATGAGAAAAGTATTTATCTTTGTGGAACAGAAGAAGGGCTAATACATCGTTGTTCAACAGTCTATAATGAACAATATTTGGAATCTTATGTGGGACATTTAGGTCCCGTTTACAAAGTAAGATGGTCCCCATTTGTGAAAAATGTTTTCCTCTCGGCCAGTGGTGACATGACCGTAAAATTATGGCTAATAGAAAGAACAACACCATGTTTAACATTTTCATCAAGCACGGTAGATAAACGACAATCAAATTTTATTATAAATATAAATGATTTGTGTCAAATTAGAAAGCGTTTTATGACGTTTGTTGGTCACCAAAATCCCCTACAATGTTTTGCTGTGTAAACGAAAGTTCCGTGGAATTATGGGACTTAGCAAAAAGCACGTAAGCTTAAGAGCCTTCTCTGTCAGAAAAAATGATTTCGGTTTAAAAAATGATTTTTGAGAAAAATATTTGATTGAATACAGCAACTCTTCTCTTTCCAATGACTTAGTCTTTTTGTCTTTAGAAAAGGTTTTTCATGGTTTTCTAGAAACCTTATTTAAGAAGAGAAGTTTGCTTTCGAAATTAAACTTTGTTTCTCGTTTTTCTCACGAAAATGTGCCACTTCAATCAGAAACACAAAATTTCAGAAATCCAACTCCCTGGTAGTAAGGACATTTTTCTACGAAATGCTATCATTACGCCCTCTATGACACATAAACTGACTGCGAATTTAGGGAAACATTAGCTACCCCATCTTGACTATAATTTTCATCGTAATTTCGAACGGATTGACAGATCCTCTTGAAATTTGTACTATGAACTAATGTTGATATAATCGATATTTTCTTAAAGTTTCGTCAAGGTCGGACTCGACTACTCAGATACATGATCTGACTGAAGTCGACCTTGAATAGAAAAGTATTGGCTCAAAAATAATTAAATTTTCCGTTCTAGTCTTGATCCCATTTATATTACGAATTGTCCACCCGATTTACGACTAACTTCAATTTCTTATGCAAAAAATTCGGATGTAAATGCTTATCGATGACCTATGTATTGTTGATTACAGGCTTGCTTTTCGTTCTAGTGTATTGTGGTTGGTACTAGTGATGGTGGAGTTTGGGTTTATCATCTAGAGAACTTGCCAGTACCAACAGTGGTATGAAAGTTATAGATATCACTCTAAAACATATTTAATATATCTTCTGTTCAGGCACACGAGCTGACATATATTATTGAACAAAGTTTAATTAGTCGATTAGAATCCGTCCAGGCTGATGAATATGCAAAGTCAATTAGAGACGGATCACTCATAAACTATTCAAATGAAAGTAGACACTCATAAGTATAATTCTACTGGATGAAAACTAACAAGGGTACATAAAGGAAAATACTTTCTACAATTTTATAAATTGTATAAAACATTTATTTGTATCAAATTCTTTTAACGTAAAAAAAATACCAATAGTTTTTTCATACACATTAAATGTTAAATGTTAAATATTAAATAACAAAAATCAGATTCTACAAGTTACTGGAAAAAAATGTTTATTTTATATTGTATATTAAAGTTGTCACACAAAGTCTTAGATTACTAATGAACACAAACACATTACTGATACTTATCAAGCACAATTAACCAAAACTGGACGAGAGAGGAAAAGAAAGAAAACACAAAAACAATAATAAGAATAAGAATAACATGTTAGAAAAAAATTATCCACCGCCTTAAAAATAAACCACCAAAATGAAAATGAAATGAAAAAAAATGAGATAAATGCGTAAGTAATAGTTTTAACTATAAATCAAATGTTAGATTATCATCGACTATACTACTACCTGCTAAACTCGTCGATGAACGTTTCTTTGTTGCTTGCCGTTTGTTGTAGAACCATACACGAATAACATAGGCATCATGACCAAGTAATTCAGACAACGCCAAAATATCCTGTTCTACAAGTAGAAAAAAGAAAGTAGCCCTCCCGTCTGCAGCTTTCGCACTTTATGCAACTTGAATGAAATAGATGTTTGTAAAAATAAACATAGATTATTAATAAATACTTACGACTTGGTTTTGGATTGAGAATAAATGCTTCTTTTAATGATTCAATATCAGCTGACGTAAATATTGTTCGTTTTCTTCGACGTCTATTACTGTTGGTTTCACAATCATCTTTTGATTTATGTGTTGATATATCTTGAAAACTTGTTTGACTTGAACATGGACTAACACTTAAATGATCATTACTAGTACTACTACTTGTACTTATTGATGACTTTGTACGATTTGCATTATTAGTAGAAGATGAATGTTTTGTTGATGTTGAGGATGGCGGAAGTTGATGATTTGAATTCAATGAACTACAAAATGAGAATACAGAATATAAATGATTAGCTTTCTCGCTGTATATTTAATCAGTATATAACTATTGCAGCTATATGTTTTCGTCTGGCAAGTGAATCAAACTTAGATTTTGCTAAGTAAATCAATATGAGAGAATAGCAATTCTTTCAACGCCTTTTTAATTCCTCATTTGAAAATACTTTGACAGATCGAACGAAAAAGGTTATTTTCACTTACCGCTGCTCCACATTTAACGGAAGTATTGTTAGCGGTAAATCTGACGGCCAACTATCATGAGAAACCTTTATTGACCTAAAACAAAAACGAAATATCACTACTGGTAACATTAAAAAATTTAATGCATAATATATGAAAGGTCTAGAATTTTCGACAATATATGAATCCACCAAAAAAACCCATAATAAACATAAATCACAACATTACTTTTAACTGGAGAAAAATCATAATGATAAAATTAATCAGAACATGCACTTAATCATGGTATTAGCAAATTTTCAAATTATATAAACTAATTTGCAAAATATGTGAAAAACAGAAAAAATAAATTATATTAATTACAAGCTTGGAAATAAAAATGCTGTAATTGTTTCATTTGACTCCAACGATTTAACTTGACTTGTGTAACAAGAATTACAACCGGCTAAAAAATTTGCCAATTGTGAACTAACAGCAGCAGTATTATCATCTGACGTCGCATCTAAATACGAAGGAAAAACTGTTGAACACATTCTTTACCTATCGTCCCCACAAACTTAGAAATTACCATGTTTTGTTTGTTTTGACGATTGCCATTCGAGATTTTCGATCTTTTGCCCATGAAATAATGTACGAGTTTCATAATTTGAGTTCATACCTTCAAACTATATATAAAAACAGAAAAAATTAGCTAGTCTTTAATTAACGTTAGAGAAACCCACTGAAAAACTTGGTTGAGGTGATACTGGTACATGATTCACTAATGAGGGTGATAATTTATAGAGATAATATTCATGATAATTCTCGGGAAACATCAGTTCTTCTAAACTGTAACCAAGATCCAATATTGGCATGATCGATTAATCGCTAAACTAAAACAAAATTCAAAACTTGACTTGTAGATTATAAACAGTGTCTCGATGTATCTAAGGATTGATTTAGAAAAAAGCCATCTGTTCAGAAATTAATGTCTGTTGAAGAACTTATGACCACGACAAGTGAATATTATAAACGATAAAAATTATAATACTTTTTCTACAGAGATGAAAGAAATTCATTTCATAAGACTTCTGTAGTAGGACGGATATGCTGAAGATGATTACTTGGGAATAAAACTTATCGATGAGTAGAATGTGTGGTATAGTATTTTCTGATTTCGTTTTCATTGATTACGTGACGTTTAATTGAGATTCGTTAAAATCTAAACATACCTGCTGCAATAGATGCTTTACAAATACCGTTACAAGAAAGCAAAGAGTCAATGACTGTTCTTCTTCACAAACTTAAATATATATATATATATACACTCTGTGTCTGCACGAGACACTATTTACATTCGGTGCGCATACTGAAAGAAAGGGCACGCGCCTTCTTTTTTGATCGGCTGAACGTTCTTTATTGATTACAACGTTTCGCGGTGGTATCTTTCTCTGATTTTTAAACTTTTAATAGTTTAGTACAAATAGTTTTCTCACCAAACAGTCTGACTTCCCAAGTTTCTCAATGGGTAGTTGCCATCTAGTTCTTCCTCTCAATTCATTTTTCTCTTCAGTCATCCCTAGTTCTTTGTTATTCTTGATCGTACAGATTTAGAAATATCGTTCAAATTTTCAATAACCTAAGATAAGTAATCTGAATCATTTTTCAGAAATATGCTTATTCGGCTACGAATGGAGATCAATTTATGCGCAGAGCATAGACCAGGTAAAACGACATCATAGGAAGAAGATATAGAAGTTTCCCATTTGAAATCACACAGACTTTGCCCTTTATACAGAGCATATAACGTGCGATGATGCTAAATATCGACATCGATTAACTGACTTATCCTTATTTTTTATGCCATGTACTGCTGTACTATGTGATAGCTGGTGATTAATTATCTCATCAAAGAATATATATACTACCACAGCATTCACACGTGACTTAATTATCTCATAGAAGGAGTCGATCAAGTTCTATGAAAACAGCTCGTCTTTTGAAAGTTATTGTAGATAAAGCATGGAAAGGGCAGTCATAAGAAGGTAAATCAGCCCACTAACTTTTTATTGCATTCAATAATCTGATTTTAGCGAAAATCATGGGTGAACTTATAATCAAGCGTTTTTTAGCTGAAAAAAACTTACACAAAAAATATTTTGGCACTTCAAGTCGATTGTGCCTAATTTGCCCATCGCGTTTAGTAATTTGACTATAATTTTTTTTGATCAAGATCCTATAGTTAGAGCAATCCCAAAATTGAATAGGCAACTGAAAATTGATTTTATTACTATTTAGTTTATTTATTGTAGTCTATTTACAACACATGTTTTAACTGGCCTCTTCCATCAAGATGACTAGAGGATCAGTTCATGCTTAACGAAATATATGACTAAGATATTAGTTAGTGACTTGGACGTACAGGATTTGTATTTAATAAAAGCGTCTCTTTCAAATGAACAACAATTAATTGAACATATTTTAACATATGTGAACGTAATATTTCAAATTCTTCACAATCTAATATATTATAATTCTGAATATAATACGATTGAATTTTACCCAATTGAAAATTTTTATATAAACGTTTAAATAAAGACATGACACGATGACATAAATTTTGATTTAACCAATGATGATTATTTGGATATTTTTCTACTTCATGTAAATAGATCATTTTCAATGTATAAGATGTTAATAATTCATTTGTACTATAGACAATATTATTAACAATACATTGATATGGTATACAATTTCGAAGTGTTTTTAATACAGTATAACCATATTTTTTTTCTAATGATAATTTTTGAAAAAAATTCACTTCAGCGGGTGTTGTTGATATACGCCATAGAAATGTTTGCTGTTCTTTTATGCATCGAGCAACAACTTGAAAATATTACACATCTGATGGACATGGTATACGAGCGGTTTGTGGCCAACCATGAACAACTATACACGGTATAACATCAATTTTTATTCTTAAACATGGATATTGTGTTCCACATCAATCGGCATGTATTGCTGTTCCACATCGTTTATCTCCACTTGACCATAACATTTTTAAATTTTTAAATAAATCCATTGACTCTTTTCTTATAACTCGACTACGAGCTGATGTTAATAATTGATAAAAACGTTTTCGTATTTTTTCAGATGATAAACATCTTGTTATTGGTTCAATATATGTTCCTAATGTAAGATCATTCATATCCTTTAAACATAAACGACCAAAACCAAATGGATCATTTTTTACTTCGGAAAATTGACATAATGATCCAATTGTTATTAAATTAATCATGAAATCAAATTCATCAGGAAAACCAACACGTGTATGTTCGTAAAAACTCCATTCACATTTAAATAATGTATTTGATAAGACCCAATGTATCCATACAAGTTAAATGATTTAAATAATCTTTCAATGTTGATGAAGTTTTTAATTTATCAATATAAGTTTCCTTCGTGTTTGTTGATTGTTCTAAAAGTTTAAGACACAAATATTTTCGATATTTCAATGCAATCTGATACGGTGTTTCATTACCATTTGTTGTTATTGTTCGACTAGCACTATGTTCTAACATACTTTGGATCAATATATTTGTTCTCCGCCATAGCAGACAAATGTAATGGTGTCAATCCGTGAATATTTTATTGATTTACATTAAATTTTTCTGAAATTAAATAATTAGCTAAATCATAAGTGTTGTGTGTTAATGTTGTATGTAGAGCACTATTTCCATGTTTGTCTCGAATAGACGGATCATATAATTTTCTAGATATCAAATGATCAGTTATAATTCTTACTGCTTTAATATTACCGCTCATGGCTGCATAATGTATTGGATAACATCCATGTATGTCCGATGTTATCAAATAAACATTCCATTTTAATAATAATTTCATACAACGTTTACGATGAAATAATAGAGCCGTTTGTAATGGACTACGCATATCTTGTTGACATAAATTACCATTGGCACCCATTTTTAATAACTTTTTTACTATACGATGATGACCATTACGTGCTGCAACAAATAATGGACTGGCACCAATGTTCTTTGTTAAATTTACATTTGCCTTATGATTTAGCAGATGATAAACACATTCGTGGTGACCATTATAGGAAAAACCAAAAAAGGGGAGTTGTTCCATCGTTTGCTTGTTGATTTGGATCAACTTGATTTTTCAATAAAAATTGGACAATATTGTCAAAACCATGATAACATGCAATCCATAATGGTGTTTGCCCATTCATCTCCGATAGATCATGTCTAGCACCATGTTTAATGAGTTCCTCAACAAATACTAATCGATTATTTTTGGAGCATAATAAAGAGCAGTTTTGCCAGCATGATCGGTCATATTTAATACAATATTAATGGAAAAATTTATTTCAGAATCTTCTAATGAACTTTTTAAAACAGCATCATGTAAATCCGTTAAACTATTCAATCGACGATAGTTTTTTGCCATTTTTTCTGATAATTTATGAAACTTTAAAGACATTTACGTTTTTCAGATATAATTTATTATCAAAGATTTGATCATTCAGAGAAAAGAAACGTTTTGAAATATTTCGTTAAGTAAATGAACTATTTTCCTGTTATAATGAAGCAGAGATTTATAGCCATCTTTCACCCATTCTGAGTTTCCTGATTTTAATCATTACTCATTAATAAAAAGAATTGAGGAGGAAGAGGGCTTTGTAAGAAAAAAAGTTTTTAGTTTCTTTGGAGGGAAACAAAAAACTTTTATTTGGGGAGGGGGGCTCTGACTGTATTCCTACTTATCGAGTTATGTGCTTAAATAAGCGCATATGTCATCTAAATAATAGATGACTTTTTGCAGAAAATAGGTAGTAGAAGAATGCTTGTTTATTTTTGTGGGTAGACAAGAAAATTTTTTTTGTCAAAGTAGACTAATTGACACAGTATGATACCTGAGGAAATATACTATAGTATGTTTTACTTTTTCTGTGTACTATACACGAAGTATTTAGTTTTTGTTGTTACCCATCAGCCGTTAAGGTCTCCCGACAGAAATACAAAATTTTTAATAAAAAGTGAATATCAAACTACGCACATCATTGGATAGTCCACTGTGCCTACTATCAGAATCCATAGTCAAAAGTGGTACGAACAGACTCATTTTGATGTCTCCAAAATGATGCTAGATGGGATCTTCAAAACTTTAGCAGCAGAGCGGTTCCATGGGGTTTAGGCTTTCAACACAAACCTGCAGATCTATTTAATTTGAAAGAGCGTTAAATTCAGAGTAAGCAAATGTTCTTGAAAAACTTTTAAAATAACTTTTATTTGTTCAAACTGCCAGCCGTGATTAGCGGTGGACAAAGTTTGAAGGCTGCTTTTGTAAAAATACTACTTTTTACCAACTTTCGATCTTCACTATATATCGCCTCCCTATTTCAGACTCTTCTTTCGTATATTTCTTAGTAACACAGAGCTAGAACTGTCTCTGTTAACAAATCTGGAGATAGAACTTTTTCGATTTTCGGAAAATCCTTGTTAGAGGCCCATCAAGGTTTTGAGAAGTATTTCGACGATTTGTCGATTGTACAAGTGGTTTTCTTCAAAATAAACGTTAGATGCATGATCTACGCGAAAAACCACACCGAATGACATATCTGTCGAATGTTTCTGGAATAAAAATATTTCGTCGAGAATTTTTATCGAGAATGCTCGAGTCGATTCATCTGTATGAGATTACTTTCATAACTGATCGTGGCCAGCGCATTGTAGCAATCAATGTTAAGATGCGTTGATGCCGGCACGTTATCATGGTACACTGCAGTGTAACTAATTCTTGTATGAGTTTTCGTCAAAAACCATGACAGATTCGACAGTAAGATTCTGACAGTGTCTGTATGAAGTAGAGTGTTGAACTCGGATTGAATTCAGTTGCATAGGATGTTGGAAATTGAACAAATATCTGACAAATATTATTAACAAAATTATTTATTGAGGACAGTACTTATGGACTTTTCCAAGAAATTGATTTGTGAAGTACTTGTCCGAGTACTTGAGTGACTAAATAGAAGCAAATTTACTTGAAAAACTTCAACCAAGTACTTGATCTATTTACCTTCCTTCAGTGACACTCTACTTAGGTCAAGCTCATTCGTGAACAAGTAGACTCCACATAAATGACAGCATTTGTGCAACTACATTCCTAACAGGAAAAAACAGGTGGGTTTTTCGTAATCAAAGAACTCAGGAAATCATTGCCACTCCAAAATCTTTCCACACTTACTACAAGCATTTGTTTGACAAGTCGACTTGTTCGCGGATGAGATGGACTTTGTGTTTTTGTTTTTATAGGTTGATGCTATGATCCCATATATTAATGGTATCGGTGCGAGTTTTGATTGACAGTATTGAAATGGGTGGATACTTGTTTGATTTGTTGTTTGTGCGGATTACGACCATATTGGCAAAATTAAGTAGAGTTCCGCTCAGCCTCTTGAATAAAAACTTAAAAAATTCATAATCTTTTTTAAAAGGATCATGGGAGAGCTCTTATTTTGTAGCCCAGACTTTCTTATGATCCCTGCGTTGACAGTACAATTCGCAGCACATATTTCAGTGAGATTGACTTCGTTCCCGTATTTTTAAGAAACTATTATAAGAGTCGATTACAGTTACTTTAATCGATTAGTAAGCATATCTTATAGTCGTTCATTTACTCTTCTGCTTTTTATCTTGTTAAAACTACTTTTATCTTGTTACTTTTTATCTTGTAACTTTTTATCTTGTTATTTCTTAAATTATAAAGGACAAAAAACCTCATTAGCGAAATTTTCATCGAAGAACAAATTGTCAGAAGATAATCTTGACCAAAATACTTTATATTAATCATAGTGTTTTTAAAGTCGTGTATTTAATTTTGGTTGTACAATGAATTGGTTGTAAAATATCTCGACCGTGACTATCAAGTATCACACGATCAATTAACGTTAGAAACAAAATAGCAACCTAATTCGTCAGAATACGAAAGTCAAGTGATCGACTTGAGAGCGTGTGCAGCATATCTTTCAGCAAAACAGAATTATTTCTTGCCATGAGTGTCTCGACACCATCTGAACAACAACTGCCTAATTCTAAGCGTTTCCTTACTTTACTGTCTACTGCGACCAGCATTTCTGCTGATGAATACACAAGCACGATTTTGAAAATGCTCTCCATTTTGCACTTTGCAGTTCTTTTATGATTTCAGAGCAAATACAATCTATTCACTGGTTTTATAACACAGTGTCTTTCAGTAATCAATGCTAAACACACCCCTGTGCCAATAAACGGAACAATAATTAAAAATTTGTTTTCTTCATAATAAACTTGTTTTCTGTAATGTTTTTTGTTGCTGTTATACTATGTAATAAGCTGGAATAAAGGTGTTTGTTTGTTTTCACCGCGCTATCGATGTGAATCACCGAGTGTGCAGAACAAAAAACGCAGCATTGTTAAGATTGAGGATATAGAGATGATTGAGCAAAACTGGATGAGAGTAAAGTGGTGCTGTTTTGGTCGTAGTGCTATTTTGATAAAGCAGTTTTTAATAAAAAATTTGAATACTTATTTTTTGCAATAATTAGAATAATACACTCTTCCTGTCATTTTTACTTATTTTTTGCAATAATCAGCATAATGCATTCTTCTTGTCATTTTGTTTCCTGACGGTGATGACAGTACGTCATCGAAAGCTCGAATAAATTCATAATGAATTTAGAAAAATTCTAATATGTATTTCAAAGCAGTCATATACTGAATTATTTAAAACTTAGTGATGTACATGTTGCCATTAGAGTAGTCGCAAAATTGGATGTTCAGCGTTATTGTTACGTGTTGTCTATAGAATGAAAAAGCAAAATAGTGTCTAAGAAAACTGTATTAGTTGATTGGTTTTAGTTACATATTTATTTATTTCATTTCTGCAGTCATTACTTAGTCAAGAAAACTATCTTTACCTGAGAGATAAAATTTTGGTTAATTCTATAGATTACTTGAAATATTAACAATGAACACATAAAATGAAGAAAATCTGCCAAAACTCCGGTGACCGATGCGGACCGACATCCACATGAGTGCCTTATTGTCTCCATTGAAGTGAAATCGAAAGTCATCGTAATAAAGGAGCGTGAATAAGAAAGATTCAGGTTTAGCAGTGTACAAAAAGAATGTGAATTGCTAATCATGATTACTACGGTTGCACAGTATTCTTAATCACGATTTACAAAACTTGTGGTTACGCCAGAGAATTCCGAAACGTTATTATTTTTTAATAGCGATTCGAGATAATTGTGATTAAGAGCTGATTTAATTATCAATTAAATTTACAAGAAACTAAATTGAAATGAGATGAGATCCCATGTCATCAGAACCGCTAAAATACCACCGGTTACCGCAGCGGTCCCCGCCGAGTATAATAGGAGGTTAACCTAATGGACATGTGAAATTACCATTATTGTATCGGCGGTATCAACCAGTATTTTATCAGTGTGAGCAAACAATACAGGAGTTCGAATCTAGTTCTCAGCTTTCTTTTTTTGCAGTGCGCGCATGCAGCGCAATGAGGTTTCCGAACGGGAAAAATTCGACTCAAGTCAAAGTGCAAACTTCGACAAGTCTCTGATGTGAAAGAGAAACTTTAATTTGAAAAATAATCAAAGTTTTTTGACTTTTCTTATATAGACTGCCAACTGCAAAACAAAAAGGTGATTTTGTCAAAACGATTTACCGACGGTTTTTTCTTGCACCACGGTCTGAAAACTACCGTGCGGTAACCGCCGGTAGAAGAAAAAACCGTCGCTAAACCGGTCGTTATACCGAACGGTACGGTTAACCAGCGGTAATCTATAGACCGGTCGGTAACGGGCGGTATCACGAAAAAAAGGGCGACATTGGATGTACATATGAAGATGCTGTTAATTAATTATACTTTGTAACATTATTACAATCGTTTTCTATGATATAAATAAGAAGTGCTACCTTGTCCGAATTCTTTTTCAAAAGTTTAATGAATGTTCTACTTTTCTCTCTGATTATGTAATATATCAATCAATTTACTATCCAATTTTAGCGTAATATCATCAGTTTCGAGTATTCGATAGTTTTTAACTTTCGATAGAGTTTAACCCTTTATCTACCCCACATGACCCATTTGCAGAATTGTTATAGAAAGACAATAAAGCATGTGATAAAAAATGGATTGCTTTTGAGAGCAAGATAAGTCCATAAGCTGTTCGATTGATAAAAAAATATTTTCTTTTCCATCAATTTTTGGTGAAGCCATTTCAATCACAAAATAAAAAATTTTCAAAGAAACGGAAAAATTGAAAAAAATATTTTCTCAGTTTTTATTTTTTATTCAAGAACTTTTCAGAAACATGTTATTGTCGATTAATATCTAGTAGAGTGTTGCCTTTCCAAGTAAAATAGAACGGGCTTTTCCTATGTACGAATTTTCTGAAAAGTGCTTACAAATAAATGGATCATTCCATGCCCCATTGGTCGCGAACGATATGAAAATGTAATATATTTAAAACCGTCAAATAAAAGATTCTCAAAAACAAAAAAAAGGAATTCTATCATTTACTGAGTTTATTATACCATAGACTCCAATGTAAGTGCTGTACAACGAACATATATAGTGCAGAAGACAAACGGAGAGTGATGGTAATATTAAGAATGAGAGAGGAAGAGGGTTTGCGTAAGTAAAAAAAAGTTTAAATTTTTTTGTCAAAGTAGACTAATTGACACAGTATGATACCTGAGGAAATATACTATAGTATGTTTTACTTTTTCTGTGTACTATACACGAAGTATTTAGTTTTTGTTGTTACCCATCAGCCGTTAAGGTCTCCCGACAGAAATACAAAATTTTTAATAAAAAGTGAATATCAAACTACGCACATCATTGGATAGTCCACTGTGCCTACTATCAGAATCCATAGTCAAAAGTGGTACGAACAGACTCATTTTGATGTCTCCAAAATGATGCTAGATGGGATCTTCAAAACTTTAGCAGCAGAGCGGTTCCATGGGGTTTAGGCTTTCAACACAAACCTGCAGATCTATTTAATTTGAAAGAGCGTTAAATTCAGAGTAAGCAAATGTTCTTGAAAAACTTTTAAAATAACTTTTATTTGTTCAAACTGCCAGCCGTGATTAGCGGTGGACAAAGTTTGAAGGCTGCTTTTGTAAAAATACTACTTTTTACCAACTTTCGATCTTCACTATATATCGCCTCCCTATTTCAGACTCTTCTTTCGTATATTTCTTAGTAACACAGAGCTAGAACTGTCTCTGTTAACAAATCTGGAGATAGAACTTTTTCGATTTTCGGAAAATCCTTGTTAGAGGCCCATCAAGGTTTTGAGAAGTATTTCGACGATTTGTCGATTGTACAAGTGGTTTTCTTCAAAATAAACGTTAGATGCATGATCTACGCGAAAAACCACACCGAATGACATATCTGTCGAATGTTTCTGGAATAAAAATATTTCGTCGAGAATTTTTATCGAGAATGCTCGAGTCGATTCATCTGTATGAGATTACTTTCATAACTGATCGTGGCCAGCGCATTGTAGCAATCAATGTTAAGATGCGTTGATGCCGGCACGTTATCATGGTACACTGCAGTGTAACTAATTCTTGTATGAGTTTTCGTCAAAAACCATGACAGATTCGACAGTAAGATTCTGACAGTGTCTGTATGAAGTAGAGTGTTGAACTCGGATTGAATTCAGTTGCATAGGATGTTGGAAATTGAACAAATATCTGACAAATATTATTAACAAAATTATTTATTGAGGACAGTACTTATGGACTTTTCCAAGAAATTGATTTGTGAAGTACTTGTCCGAGTACTTGAGTGACTAAATAGAAGCAAATTTACTTGAAAAACTTCAACCAAGTACTTGATCTATTTACCTTCCTTCAGTGACACTCTACTTAGGTCAAGCTCATTCGTGAACAAGTCGAATGAGAGAGATATTATGAACATTGCCCAAGATTAGAGTGTACATTTGAAAAATGCAAGTTGAGAACGTAATGGACATGTTCTAAATGTGAACTACATTTATGCATTCATCTACAACATAACTGTTTTGTAGTTTTTAACACTAAACAATAATCTAGAAAAAATAAATTTAATTGTAAGACAATGAATACTCAATATAATTGCTAATAAAAATATGTTTGCTATAAAATAACAACCTAAGTGTAAAAGAGTACTTTTTCTTTTTGTACTTTTTTCATGTTGTTCGCTACCAATGGGTCATGGATGACCCATCATATTGCTCAACTTGATTCGATTCAATTTTGATTCGATTGGTGCAACTTTGATTCGATTCAACCTTGAAATTGACATATTATACTACTAATTGCTTTATTCTACTAGTTAGTTGGCCATCAGCTTCTATAGATCAACGTTGGTAAAGGGTTAACATTGTCGACGAAAGCATTTATGGTGCCATATATATAATATATATGACACTATAAATTTTATATATATCTATATATATTGTGGTTCTTCCATTTTCATAAGTCTTTTGTTTTTTCAGCCATTCCTTATTTTCAATTTGGAAGAATATTTCATAGCTCGATAATTATTCATGATTATTAAAATCAGAAATCCAAACTAATAGAAGAATAATGAATTGTCAAAGAAACAATGAAGAGAGAAATAATTGCTTTCTAGTATTGCATAGTATATAAAATAAGAGGACAAGGCGTAGGGGGATTTTGTCAGTAGATCCATCTTGAGATAGAAGTTTAATCGATATTACATTCTTTTTGAATTTCGTATAGTCCAATCGCAAAGAATCTGTTAGAGATTCATTTATTTCAAACCGTATAGTACTGATGAACAATATGCTCGGAAATTCTTCTATCCAAATTAAAAAATTCGTTCTAGAATATTTTATATATTCTACCATACAAGGTTTTTGCATCATTCCCGAGGCTAAAATTGTCTTCTGGTTTCTAAATCATCTCATAGAAATACGTACGCTTATATATGATCAGACAAGATCCTACTTTACATACATAGAACTTTTTTCTCTTGGACTGCTGATTTTTTAATGTCTTATTTCATTTTTTTTTTGTTTAAACATCACTTTATTATGTTTCTAACAGATTTTTAAATTGAGAATGGCGTTCAAGTATTGTTCTTCTCTTCTGTGTGGTGTTAGATGTGAACAACGCCTACATTCAACAAATCACCCCAATCAGATACAAGAAAAAGAAAGAGAAATGAATGCAATTTTTTGTTGAAATTGTTCGATAAGATTTTAAATTTAGCATTATAAAAGCCTACACTTAACGTTATACAAGCAAGTGAGTAAAATTTAGACTATACGGTCCGAAACAAAACAAAATGAACTTTTTTTCTAATTATTTCTATTCAAACCCACGTATGAATTCATTTGAATCAAACTCAATTTATCTCAATTTTATTTTGTTAAAAATAGATAAATGATTTCAAATTGAGTTTTTTTTTTGTTTTTTAAATTTAACAATAGATATAATGATTTTTATTTATCGAGAATTCTTACTCATTTCCGGTTCTACATAAGGAAACTCCTATTTTCTCTTTTTCGAAAATTCGCTCTTTTTTTTTGATTTCTTATACATCAATAGTGAAAACATCCTTCTTTTTCTCTTTTTTCACTACGCAGAATATCAGTAATAATCTATAAAATGAAAAGGGTTCTTAATAAATATGTTCATCATTGTCGTTTGTGATAATTGACAACATACACTTTTTGATCAGAGACAACAACAATATATTCTAGTAAAGATAATTTATTATTTATTTATTTATTCATTTATTTTTTATCAACGTATATAGGAATAATTCATCGCTATGTGGAATTCATTTTCAATTATTTTCACCACGATTTTGTTAGTTATTGTTTGTTTTCAATCAACGGTAAGGCTTAGAGAAAACCAACATTGTTAAGACTAATGATACTGTTAGAATGTGAGTTGTTAAAAATAATCTGACAGAAACAATTTGTCAATGCAAACTCTAAGTTTTTGACGTTCTTATCGTAGACATATTGTTTAAATTCAAGAAGAATAACAAAAATTGTAAAAATATCCGATTCTGGTATCGAATAGCTATCCTGTAACATTGATAGAAAATTAAGAGTAAACAGTAAAAAAAAAACAATGAAATACTCATGACTATTTAATAATTAAACAAATTCGCATATAGAGTCTTAGATTACTTGTTATTTATTTCAATCATATTATTCACTTATTTTTAGTGGACATTCGAAGACGATGTCGAAGAACAATTCTATTCGGATAATAATCTTGCGTTAACAGACGACGATAGTCTAGACTCTTATTATAAATATCCATCATTTTATAATCGATTTATTCGTTCAACAAAAATGCCTAGAATAGGGCGTTCACTTGATTTCGATGATTTACCACCATCAATGAAAAATTCTCTATCATTATCATCATTAGGATATTATTTACCAGCAGAGAATACATTTGAACAAAGAAGTGTTATGTTTCCTCGTATTGGAAAACGTGCATTTCATAATTTATTATGGGCGAATGGTCGAACAAATCCCCATCGATTACTTGATGCTCAAGGCAGATATTTAATGACAAATTATGATTTACAGAGACCAGAATCAACACGTTGGCGTGGTAAAAGAGATACAGTGAATATGGATAACTCAAACAAAAATAATATGTAAAGTTTTTTTTGTGTACTCTATTTTCAAACAAATAAAAAAAATGTGTAAATGATAAAAAAAATAATTAATAAAAAATACCAGATAGATAAACGACTATACGTACAAATTATTTACCTTTTAAAATCTTTAAAGCAAAATGGAAGAAAGCTTACCGCAAAAACAGTATTTGTTTTCATTGTAATAACAAGAAAATTGATTACTCTCGTTTACATTCAAAATTATGGTTTTTAATTTCTATCTTTTTTATTAGAAAGCATTGACTACATTAATATATATGTTTGTTTAGTATATGAAAAAAGTAACATTTATGAATTTTGAGATAAGCGAACTTGTTCTTGAGTATGAAACATATTATAGTAATAGAGAATTCCGTTTGACTAATAGTGCCGTTATATGTTAAGAGAAGATGAGTTTTTCGTTGATAGTATAAATCCAAGATATTTAAACAATTTTGTTCGCACAGTTAAGATAAGAAAAACTTCGTATAATCCATAGGAGAGAATGTTTATTGTCATAGGCAATCTCATAGATAGATGTCTGATTATTGATATACGAGGCTAAAAGTCTTTATACTTTTGTTTCTATTTCTAGCAGTAAAGTCGATTTGTATATAATGTATAAAGATATAATGGACTAATATATTCGATTTTCAGACATTTAGACTTGACATAGAAATAAAAATGACTACATAAACAATTCTACTACTAGTCAAAAAAAGCTTGACCTTCGGAACTACCACAAAAACAGCAAGAAAAAAAAAGGACCAACCTTTACAATTGTAAGCGCTTAAAAGTATGAAAATCTATAATTCATACAAATTTTAATCATATACAAATTAACAATTATAGCAACAAAGTGGAATCGTAATGCAACAGTACCATCTTGTAAAGAGAGCTGTCCAAGGACTGAGAAACAGGAATTCTCCCAATTTCTAAAAATAACATACAAACATATATAATTCCCTGCCGAACTAAGAAATGACCATTATTCACTTCACATTTTCTCGATAACTCCTCGTTACGCGCTAACGTGACAAGAACATGACATAAATATTCTACCCACATTTCCTTCTCAATTCCTCGAATCCTTCGAAGGAAATGAGCTCATGACAATACCTAACTTAAAGAACCGAGGAAATGAGTAGAACTCATAGTCAATTCCCCATCAGGGAACTGGCATTTTTTTTATATTAATAAACAAAAGTCACTGCAAACCAGTTCTCTGACGGGGAATTGGCTATGAGTTCTACTCATTTCTTCGGTTCTTTAAGTTAGGTATTGTCATGAGCTCATTTCCTTCGAAGGATTTGAGGAATTGAGAAGGAAATGTGGGTGGAATATTTATGTCATGTTCTTGTCACGTTAGCGCGTAACGCATCGTTTATTAAACTTATTTTACAATAAGTTTTGAAGAAAAAAGACTTCTATCCACTCTTCGATCGATCAGTTGGAATGGATGATGCTTGGGCATCTTCTACAGGAGATTACTCAAAGTCGATCTTAAAATTTTAAAAATTCATCATAGTTCTGTAGAAAATGCTTTTATCCAAGGGGTGAATAGCAAATCATGAGTCTGATGATTTTGGTGAGTTTGAAAAAAATGAAAAGTCTCCCGAAACAGTTGTAAAGTATTCAAAACTAAAGAAAAACACGCAAAACCGTTGAAACTCATCCAAACTCCCTCGAACTCACTCAAACGCACCATGATTCTGTTGATTTTGAATGATTTCGGACTGATTTCCACTTGATCTTGAGTTAATCTAAATCAGTTGTTTCCCCCTTGCTTTTATCTTACTTTTGTCACTGGCACGTTTAATGAAGAAGTTCGCGGTTTTGTGATCTAGATGTGAAAAGAGGAAAGTTACATTTTATTGATTTTTTAGTTCGCAAGTGTTTTCATTTCCCCGATAAAAACACTTCTCTAAGCTACAGTTACTCAATCAATAGAATGAGCAAGATTGTCTTGAATGAACGTCAGTCACTTTCAGTAGATCATTTCATATCCACGATGGATGTTCGATGAAAGAAGATGAAGTCATGTTAATATCACTGTTGTGTTACCTGAACCACATACAGATCGCAGCTGTTTTACTCTGCTGTTTATTTTTTTGCTAAAGACTTGTCATCTAAAGTCGAGTGAGATACGGAGAACGTCGTACAATCTGGCGTGATAAAAAGTTGTCGTTATTGAATGAAAAGAAGTAATTCTGCGAAATGTTTTTTAACGAAGAAATAAAAATACCGAGAGGCTAATAGTCAACAAAATGCATTTTTTACATAAGTATCGATTTCGGACGGCTCATTTCAAAAATATGTCAGGAACAGTTCGCTTTGTTTTTGCTAACAAAAGACAGCATTTCATGGAGGACTCAACGAAGAATATTGTAGAAGAACAAACAGATGTAGAATATATGAGCATCAAAAACAATATCATGAAGATAGTGAAGGACTCTTTATTGCTGATGTCGTGAATTTTGTCAGCACTGATTCAAACCACTGATGAACTATCATCTTTCAGTTCGAAACTGATAAGTGATAGATCACTGCTCATTTTTACCCATCCTTGTCATAGAACAAAACTTATAGTAAAAAAGCGTTTTCTTTACTTTTGCATCGATATGTTTGTTTCAGTATAGAACGAAATCGACGCAATGTATGAAAATGACTACTCAAAGGTTTTACTAGGTTTAAATTCGTAAACTGTTGCGCACTTGGCAGTACAGTCAGATATCTTACAGAGATAAAAACTTCTCGAGTCGAACGATAAACGCTTGGCAGCGAAGTAATGAACGATTAGAGCGCAAAGCGAAAGTCAGAAAACCCTAAGACAGATGAGAAGTCTTGATAAACGCTATGGTTTGTGTCGAAAAATCTTTTTTTCTGTGAAAAATGCTTGTATTCAAAAACGTGTC